GTCCTTAACTTTACTAAATACTCAAAGGACTTGTTAATCAACATAGAACTGGTACTATTAGCCATCGGACGTTGGGGTTCATACTGAGGGGAGAATCTGAGCACCTATGGACATATCCGGAGTGCAATGATGATAACCCAGCTACCTAACTAACTAACTAACTAACTAACTAACTAACTAACTAACTAACTAACTAACTAACTAACTAACTAACTAACTACTAACTAACTAACTAACTAACTAACTAAATACTTAAAGGGTTTGTACATTTTAACGCTTTCTTAGATTAGCTGCTGCAATTTAAAATAATACGGGCTTCATGGTTTTGTATAGTTTAGGGCCTCACCAAATCTATATCCGCCCTTGCCACTACAAATTTGGTTAATGAGAAGTTAGTGCTGAACTTTCTTGGAATACCTTGGACTGCCAGAATAACTAACAATGATTGCCCGGAAATGACTACAGAAAGTATAACATTAGATACTCCCCGTGTGGGTTCCGGGGTCCTATTATGGGAGGGGGGGGGGGGCGAAAAGAATAGACCGACTGCTTACCCAAAAGCATGTCGTAAGAGCTGACTAATTGGGAGCTTTCTTCGAAGTCGGAACGGATCTGCCTGAGAGACCAGGAACCAGCAGTCTGCGTATAAATGAGTCAGATCTGTAAAACGGATGACCACGCAACACTTAGGTTCTGGAACATGACGACAGTCCAAAAGTGGATGAACAACCAAAACTTTCCGCCAGAGTTTACAGCCGAAGAAGAAGAAGAAGAAGAAGAAGAAGAAGAAGAAGAAGAAGAAGAAGAAGAAGAAGAAGAAGAAGAAGAAGAAGAAGAAGAAGAAGAAGAAGAAGAAGAAGAAGAAGAAGAAGAAGAAGAAGAAGAAGAAGAAGAAAAAGAAGAAGAAGAAGAAGAAGAAGAAGAAGAAGAAGAAGCAGAAGAAGAAGAAGAAGATTTTATACAACAATGAGAAGGAGATAAACAAAGTTCTTTGGTCATAGGTATAATGAGAAAATGAGCACTGGAAAATATCGTGACGACTGGAAAGATCACTGGTAGAAGAGGCAGAGGCAGACCAAGAGAAATGATGGTGGATGGCAATGGAATAGAGGTATGTTATCAGTGGAACTGATCAAAACACCAAAGATCGAGACGCCTATACCAGCTGGCAAGGCACTTGGTGATGATGATTTAACTTTCTCGTGAAAGTTGTATACTGATCCATCTGTACTCCTGTCAGGATTACCTAAAGGTCACGCTTTCCTCTCTTGATACCATTAATTCGTTTCTCTCTTCGCCGTTCTGCCCCTCCACAAGATTCTGTTTCTACAGTTCAACGAACGGGGGTCAGTAACACAACATGACCGCACGTTTACACACACAAGTTAGTGGTCAGTCATCTCGACTCCCAGCGTTTCTCCGTGGACAAGTTAACGCGGTCAGCTGAGTGAGTAAGGGTCAGGAACCTGTTGACAGTTTTGTTTGGTGAGTTTTAAAACTGTTTTCTCCCGGTGTCTCACTCAGTTTGGATTTGACCAGCTCCTAGTCGACATCTCACAGTCAGAAGTTCAGCACAGCAATAGTTGAGAGGTACTTTCATGTGTTTTAGTTAGCATAGTTATTGAATATATTGCTGTTGAGAACTACAAGTTAAGTTTAAAAGTACATTATAAGAACAGGAGTTAGTCTATGAGATGTGAATAGACTGCTATAGAGAACTACAAGTTAAGTTTAAAAGTACGTTACAAGAACAGGGGTTAGTCTATGAGATATGAATAGACTGCTATATAGAGAACTACAAGTTAAGTTTAAAAGTTCGTTACAAGAACAGGGGTTAGTCTATGAGATATGAATAGACTGCTATATAGAGAACTACAAGTTAAGTTTAAAAGTACGTTACAAGAACAGGGGTTAGTCTTTGAGATATGAATAGACTGCTATATAGAGAACTACAAGTTAAGTTTAAAAGTACGTTACAAGAACAGGGGTTAGTCTATGAGATATGAATAGACTGCTATATAGAGAACTACAAGTTAAGTTTAAAAGTTCGTTACAAGAACAGGGGTTAGTCTTTGAGATATGAATAGACTGCTATATAGAGAACTACAAGTTAAGTTTAAAAGTACAAGAACAGGGGTTAGTCTTTGAGATATGAATAGACTGCTATATAGAGAACTACAAGTTAAGTTTAAAAGTTCGTTACAAGAACGGGGGTTAGTCTTTGAGATCTGAATAGACTGCTATATAGAGAACTACAAGTTAAGTTTAAAAGTACGTTACAAGAACAGGAGTTAGTCTTTGAGATCTGAATAGACTGCTATATAGAGAACTACAAGTTAAGTTTAAAAGTACGTTACAAGAACAGGAGTTAGTCTATGAGATGTGAATATATGGTATACCAGAATAATGGTATACCGTCAGGACACTTTAAATATCCGCTGAGATAGACTCGTCAATTAACGTGTCCTTTACAGAACGTGTCTCTCATCATGGCACGTCTGAAAGTCTTTCTCTAGAAATTCTCCAGCCCTGTGTGCTTTCGCAGCCAATGCATCTTCAATATTTTGCATGCATTTTCCTGTTGGTCTGTTGGTTTAAATATGGATGAGATCGTCAAGCACCTTTGGCTTCTCCTTCAACCTTCATCTTAGGGTTTCTCTTAGATGTTTTTGCTTTCTGTTGTATATGGTTCTAGTGTCCATACAGTGTGCGTTTTTTGTTGGGGGTGGGGGGGGGGGTGATGGTGGGGGGTGAGGCCCACTGCACTCTACTACTCACATCCATATGTTGCTATAGGGAGGGTGGGAGATAGTCTACAACTCACATCCGTATGTTGCTCGAGGGCAGGTGGGAGATAGTCCATGACTCACATCCATATGTTGCTACAGGGAGAGTGGGAGATAGTCCACGACTCACATCCATATGTTGCTACAGGGAGTGGGACATAGTCCATGACTCACATCCATATGTTGCTACAGGGAGAGTGGGAGATAGTCCATGACTCACATCCATGTTGCTACAGGGAAGGTGGGAGATAGTCTACAACTCACATCCATATGTTGCTGCAGGGAAGGTGGGAGATAGTCTACAACTCACATCCACATGTTGCTACAGGGAAGGTGGGAGATAGTCCATGACTCACATCCGTATGTTGCTACAGGGAAGGTGGGAGATAGTCAATGACTCACATCCGTATGTTGCTACAGGGAAGATGGAAGATAGTCCATGACTCACACCCACATGTCGCTACAGGGAGGGTGGGGATGGTGGGAGATAGTCCAGGACTCACATCCGTATGTTGCTACAGGGAAGGTGGGAGATCGTCCATGACTCACATCCATATGTTGCTACAGGGAGAGTGGGAGATAGTCCACGACTCACATCCAAATGTTGCTACAGGGAGTGGGACATAGTCCATGACTCACATCCATATGTTGCTACAGGGAGAGTGGGAGATAGTCCATGACTCACATCCATGTTGCTACAGGGAAGGTGGGAGATAGTCTACAACTCACATCCATATGTTGCTGCAGGGAAGGTGGGAGATAGTCTACAACTCACATCCACATGTTGCTACAGGGAAGGTGGGAGATAGTCCATGACTCACATCCGTATGTTGCTACAGGGAAGGTGGGAGATAGTCCATGACTCACATCCGTATGTTGCTACAGGGAAGATGGAAGATAGTCCATGACTCACACCCACATGTCGCTACAGGGAGGGTGGGGATGGTGGGAGATAGTCCAGGACTCACATCCGTATGTTGCTACAGGGAAGGTGGGAGATAGTCCATGACTCACATCCGTATGTTGCTACAGGGAAGGTGGGAGATAGTCCATGACTCACACCCACAGGTAGGGTGGGGATGGTGGGAGATAGTCCACGACTCACATCCGTATGTTGCTACACAAGGGCGCAGTCTCCCAAAATTTTACCTTTGATTTCCTTGCTGGTGCTTAACCATCAGAGCCGTCTTAACATCACTATGGGCCCCTGTGTAGAGCAGTGAACTGAGGCCTCTATGACAACCACTGACAAGAATGAAATGAAAATATCAAATATATACACAGATTAGTATGGTCTCCCTATGCTCATAGGGCCTCCAGGAAAGGGCCCAGAGGATCCATGTAGCAGGTCCTTTGCAGAATGTCGCTCTTATCACGGTCTGTCTGAAAGACTTACTCACCAGCTCTCCTGTATGTTGTACTTGTATGTTTTGTCAGTTGTATCCCGTGCCCATCTTCGTGTCGGTCAGCCCCTGCTCCTCTCTCCTAGTACCATGCCTTCTGCTATTATTTTCTCCAATCGGCCATGGCACTTGATATCACCAAAATATTTTCACTTCCCAGTCATGATACTGTTTATTAGCCAGTCTTAATTGGGAACTGTCCAACAAACTTGTAATGCTGTTTTATCTTTGCTCTGCTACGGCCATCCTCCTTTTGACTTCTGTTGAACAGTCTCCTTTGCTGTTTATTATGGAGTCTAGATATTAAATGTTTAAGGATGTGTGAAAGTGGGACATGAATAATACAGGTATTGAGGTGGATTCGTGGGAACAAAAGGCCATGGAAAGTGGTGTGGAGGTGGCACATCAGGAAAGGAATGAGAATAAATGATTGCAGAAAGGATGAGATCTGAGCATCTGAGAAGAAACAGATTAACACGGATAACGGTGCTGAAATCCCATGCTATAATTGTAGACTTTTCTCAAAGCAGCCGGGTTTTGCTAGTCACACACGCCATTGCTTTGGGCTGTGAGTCCCATGCCTCCCCATAGCACAATATAATGCTATGGTCTGGAAAGATAGAAAGGTGCCAATCATCAGATATTCGTTTGACATTTTCAGTTTCTTCATTTATCTACATGACTGGAACCAGAATCCATCTAATCTTTTTGAGTTTTTTTTTCAGGAGCCCATCCTGCAGCCTGGAGAACTGATCGTTTGTCAAGACACAGCTTGTTGAAAAAGAGTAACCACCCTTGGAGGTTGGCCATCATGACTACTGTGATCATATATTTGGTGTATGATGGGAAGGAGGAAGCTGTGGAGTTCTTCAGTGATGACACTGTTGAAGACGTGAGAAGTGAGTAACTTACCTGTCTGTGTTTGTCTAGTACTTCTGCTGCTTTTTATATCCCTTAATGGAGCATAGACCCTCATCCAACTCACTCGAGAGCATCCTTTTCTTTGCTTTAACAGAGACCAGCCCAGGTGTAGCAGCTAGAATCTTTGCCTGCGGTTCAGAAGGTCGTTTGGGTCCTGATGGAGTCAAAAAATGACCTTGGCTCTTAGACTGACCCAACCTTGAATGGGTACCAGGTGCAGTCCTGGGAAGTAAAGGCGGCTGGCATGGTGCTGACCTCATTACCACCTAGTGCCGAATGGTCTATATAATACAGGTCTAGCCCTATATACCGAGTATGCCTGAAGGTGTAAGAGGGTCCTTTATCACACGCCACTCACCCCATGTCCTCCCTATCACATGCCACTCACCCCATGTCCTCCCTATCACATGCCACTCACCCCATGTCCTCCCTATCACACGCCACTCACCCCATGTCCTCCCTATCACACGCCACTCACCCCATGTCCTCCATATCACACGCCACTCACCCCATGTCCTCCATATCACACGCCACTCACCCCATGTCCTCCCTATCACACGCCACTCACCCCATGTCCTCCCTATCACATGCCACTCACCCCATGTCCTCCCTATCACACGCCACTCACCCCATGTCCTCCCTATCACACGCCACTCACCCCATGTCCTCCCTATCACACGCCACTCACCCCATGTCCTCCCTATCTCGTCACTCACCCCATGTCCTCCCTATCTCGTCACTCACCCCATGTCCTCCCTATCACGTCACTCACCCCATGTCCTCCCTATCAGACGCCACTCACCCCATGTCCTCCATATCACACGCCACTCACCCCATGTCCTCCATATCACACGCCACTCACCCCATGTCCTCCCTTTCACACGCCACCCACCCCATGTCCTCCCTATCACATGCCACTTACCCCATGTCCTCCCTATCACATGCCACTTACCCCATGTCCTCCCTATCACATGCCACTTACCCCATGTCCTCCCTATCACACACCACTCACCCCATGTCCTCCCTATCACATGCCACTCACCCCATGTCCTCCCTATCACACACCACTCACCCCATGTCCTCCCTATCACATGTCACTTACCCCATGTCCTCCCTATCTCTTCAACTTCTCTATTTCCCTTCTTCATGTGCTTTTGGTCTGAATTTTATTTCTATATCCCTGTGGGTTCCAGTGCCAAGCCCTTCTACTTATGTTTTCAGATTTTCTGTGTGTCTTGCCCAATGTTTCTTGAGTAGTAGCAGTCAAATACACCATTGCCGGTTTGCTAGGTCTGTCGCATGGCAGGGCAGGAATAAATCTGAAAAATGAATAGGGCTCTTGAACAGAAAATAACAAGTGAAATGAGTTGTCTCCTCAAGATCACTAACACTAGATGAGACAGGGTAACGAATACCAGCAGACAGGGTTACGAATACCAGCAGACAGGGTTACGAATACCAGCAGACAGGGTAACAAATACCAGCAGACAGGGTTACGAATACCAGCAGACAGGGTTACGAATACCAGCAGACAGGGTTACGAATACCAGCAGACAGGGTTACGAATACCAGCAGACAGGGTTACGAATACCAGCAGACAGGGTTACGAATACCAGCAGACAGGGTTACGAATACCAGCAGACAGGGTTACGAATACCAGCAGACAGGGTTACGAATACCAGCAGACAGGGTTACGAATACCAGCAGACAGGGTTACGAATACCAGCAGACAGGGTTACGAATACCAGCAGACAGGGTTACGAATACCAGCAGACAGGGTAACGAATACCAGCAGACAGGGTAACGAATACCAGCAGACAGGGTAACGAATACCAGCAGACAGGGGTAACGAATACCAGCAGACAGGGTAACGAATACCAGCAGACAGGGTAACGAATACCAGCAGACAGGGTAACGAATACCAGCAGACAGGGACAGGGTAACGACGAATACCAGCAGACAGGGTAACGAATACCAGCAGACAGGGTAACGAATACCAGCAGACAGGGTAACGAATACCAGCAGACAGGGTAACGAATACCAGCAGACAGGGTAACGAATACCAGCAGACAGGGTAACGAATACCAGCAGACAGGGTAACGAATACCAGCAGACAGGGTAACGAATACCAGCAGACAGGGTAACGAATACCAGCAGACAGGGTAACGAATACCAGCAGACAGGGTAAACGAATACCAGCAGACAGGGTAACGAATACCAGCAGACAGGGTAACGAATACCAGCAGACAGGGTAACGAATACCAGCAGACAGGGTAACGAATACCAGCAGACAGGGTAACGAATACCAGCAGACAGGGTAACGAATACCAGCAGACAGGGTAACGAATACCAGCAGACAGGGTAACGAATACCAGCAGACAGGGTAACGAATACCAGCAGACAGGGTAACGAATACCAGCAGACAGGGTAACGAATACCAGCAGACAGGGTAACGAATACCAGCAGACAGGGTAACGAATACCAGCAGACAGGGTAACGAATACCAGCAGACAGGGTAACGAATACCAGCAGACAGGGTAACGAATACCAGCAGACAGGGTAACGAATACCAGCAGACAGGGTAACGAATACCAGCAGACAGGGTAACGAATACCAGCAGACAGGGTAACGAATACCAGCAGACAGGGTAACGAATACCAGCAGACAGGGTAACGAATACCAGCAGACAGGGTAACGAATACCAGCAGACAGGGTAACGAATACCAGCAGACAGGGTAACGAATACCAGCAGACAGGGTAACGAATACCAGCAGACAGGGTAACGAATACCAGCAGACAGGGTAACGAATACCAGCAGACAGGGTAACGAATACCAGCAGACAGGGTAACGAATACCAGCAGACAGGGTAACGAATACCAGCAGACAGGGTAACGAATACCAGCAGACAGGGTAACGAAATACCAGCAGACAGGGTAACGAATACCAGCAGACAGGGTAACGAATACCAGCAGACAGGGTAACGAATACCAGCAGACAGGGTAACGAATACCAGCAGACAGGGTAACGAATACCAGCAGACAGGGTAACGAATACCAGCAGACAGGGTAACGAATACCAGCAGACAGGGTAACGAATACCAGCAGACAGGGTAACGAATACCAGCAGACAGGGTAACGAATACCAGCAGACAGGGTAACGAATACCAGCAGACAGGTAACGAATACCAGCAGACAGGGTAACGAATACCAGCAGACAGGGTAACGAATACCAGCAGACAGGGTAACGAATACCAGCAGACAGGGTAACGAATACCAGCAGACAGGGTAACGAATACCAGCAGACAGGGTAACGAATACCAGCAGACAGGGTAACGAATACCAGCAGACAGGGTAACGAATACCAGCAGACAGGGTAACGAATACCAGCAGACAGGGTAACGAATACCAGCAGACAGGGTAACGAATACCAGCAGACAGGGTAACGAATACCAGCAGACAGGGTAACGAATACCAGCAGACAGGGTAACGAATACCAGCAGACAGGGTAACGAATACCAGCAGACAGGGTAACGAATACCAGCAGACAGGGTTACGAATACCAGCATTAGAAAGTTAGAGTAAGACCATGTCTAGATTGTATTGACAAAGAATGAAATGGTTTGGCCATCTAGTGAGAATGCAGCCAGACCAGACTGCATATAAGACTTTTTACAGTAGAACATCTGGGAGGAAGACAAGAGGAAGACCAAGAAAGAGATGGATAAATGTAGTTGAAACCTGCAAAAGTTGATCAAATCCATCACTCAAGCCACTCGAGAAGTGCAGCCAAATACAAAAAGCCACGACACTGGGCTACAACCTTGTATCAGTGAGACGACAAAAACCACGACACTGGAGTGAGACTACACTGGGCAACAACCTTGTATCAGATGACAAAAACCACAACACTGAGCTACAACCTGGTATCAGTGATGACACTGGGCTACAACCTGGTATCAGTGAGACGACAAAAACCACGACACTGGGCTACAACCTGGAATCAGTGAGATGACCAAACCATGACACTGGGCTACACCCTGGAATCAGTGAGTTGAAAAGTAGTTGTCTTATCGAACACCAGCATCTTTTCACTGTTTGACAGGCACTAAAAAGGGAAATAAACTGAAGAAGTGAGGGCACCAAAATGAAACTCTATAATAAATGATGGTGAGAGAGGTTAAAGCTCTTCCATCCATGCTATTGAAGTAATTGCACAAGATAGAATGGAATGGAGGGATTGACCGTGAGCCCTATGTGACATGTAAGGATACTGCAGGACAATGTGCGAATTATATTCACCATTCAGCTCAGGACAGATTACCATAATAAAGTCAATGACCTTAGCCACACCTTCAGCCATATTGGGCATATAGGGCTAGACCTATTGGCACTTAGTAGGTGAAGGGGGCAGCATCACTCTGGCTGTCTTTACTTCCCCAGACATTACCTGGTACCCATTTTAGACTTGGCCAACCTGGGAGCCACTGTCATTTTAGAAAAATAATCTTGTGATGGGGATTTGAAACTGAGACACACAGATACCTTGGAGTACTAAAGTGAATCTTATCAGAACTATTTTTTGGCTAACACTATGCTATCAGTGCCAAGCGTGGACACTTAAAACCTCCAATGAAGGTAATATTGTGACAACAGAGATGAAATGCCTTAGAAGAGCTGCAAGTTTCAAGGAAAGACAGAATATAAAATCATGAAATCAGACGAATGCTAGGAATAAAGCTAGTCTTACAGGTCATCAAAGAACAACAAATAAAGTGGTTTGGACACCTAACAAGAATGCCCTGGTACTATTCACCACAGCGAGCCACACTAAAACGTTACAACGGGTATAGAGCGAGTGGAAGACCTTGGAAAATATGGAGTGATGGCATTAAGAACAGCCTTACAGAAATGAACATCAGTCTTAATAGTGCTCTTGACAGAGCTCATCAATTAACATCTTCCCTCGACACTTCGATGAGGTACAAGGTGGAAGAGAAGTTTCGTATGATTTGCTTTTCTGTGAATCCTACCTGGCATTAAATGTTTTTTATTGTATACATTTGATCAGAACATACTAATGAAATCTGGCTTCCTTGGTATTTGGCTTCTTTGGTTTCCTTAGTATTTGGCTTCTTTGAAAGTAATTATCACATGCTGTCTCCACACTGAATGTTGGTTGTGCTGGATCTCTATGTTCTGTCTGTTGTCTTGGCTGTAAACTCATTGCTGTTCATCAATCTAGTGGTATTGTCCTTCCAACTGTATCTACCTTTTGTCTACCTCTTGCCCTATACCTTTCACTCCAGAGTGAATTTTTGAAAGCCTATTATGTCAATTCATTTTTCGGCCATGTTATGAGAAGAGAGAAAATAGAACATGTTGTGACCACTGGAAAGATCTGTGGAAAGAGGGATAGTTGAAGGCGAGAGAAGATTGTCTTGTTGCATGGCATGGAGGTGTGTCGGCACATGACTGATACATGATGCAGGAGATCGCAGATTGTGGAGAGGCATGATCGCCCACGTCGGTCGGCAAGGCACCTGATGATGATATTTCAGTGTGGCCTAAGGACAGTGGTATCAAGAAAGCCGACTGTCCAGACAGCAGTGGCAAACTACTGGACGTAAATTTGCCTAGAGAAACCACACAACAGCCAGGGGCTGCTGGGGTTGGTTCTGCAACGTCCTGTAAAGGATACGCAACTAACCTATTATCTTTCCCATTGCGACTACGCCTGTGAGACCTGGACACTTACTAAACAAGCTGAACAGTGCATAAATGCTTTTGAATACAAAGGTTATAGACAGGTTCTAAGAATATGGGTAAGAAAAGAACAAATGCTTCCATACTTGAAGAGCTGAATATTTAAGGTTGGCTATTAAAGATGATGAAACAAGAAAATTGAAATCTTCTGGTCACTTGAAACATGAAAATTTAGAGAGCAGAATTGGAGGGGTATATGCCTGGGAAGAGAGGAAGAGGAAGGCCAAAGAGAAGATGGGTGCAGGATGTGGCGGATGATCACCAGATGAGTGTCAGACGTGTGACATCTTGCTTGTGATCGAGAAGTTTTTCGGACGGTTGTTATGAGAGCAAGGTTCTGAAAGGGATTTTAAGGTTTGGAGGTTTTATACAACGGATCAACATGACACGGGTAGTAACCCATAAGTGCTCCATTCTTCTAAGTCAAGTCTGAGTCCAAAGAAGGCCAGCACAGTGCAGACTCTGTAGCACCAGCGAGGATCCTGAAATACTCTGGGTAGATTTTTAATTCTAAATTTTGCCTGGGCAGCGTTGTTAGGCTACTCTTTTTGATTTCCAACTGCCCAGGAATTTTTTACATGCGCAGCAATGAACACGGGACATGCTACTGGCTGGGTGAGTGGCTGGCTGGGTGAGTGGCTGGCTGGGTGAGTGGCTGGCTGGGTGAGTGGCTGGCTGGGTGAGTGGCTGGCTGGGTGAGTGGCTGGCTGGGTGAGTGGCTGGCTGGGTGAGTGGCTGGCTGGGTGAGTGGCTGGCTGGGTGAGTGGCTGGCTGGGTGAGTGGCTGGCTGGGTGAGTGGCTGGCTGGGTGAGTGGCTGGCTGGGTGGGTGGCTGGCTGGGTGGGTGGGTGGCTGGGTGGGTGGGTGGCTGGGTGGGTGGGTGGGTGGCTGGCTGGGTGGGTGGGTGGCTGGCTGGGTGGGTGGGTGGCTGGCTGGGTGGGTGGGTGGCTGGCTGGGTGGGTGGGTGGCTAAGTGGCTGGCTGAGTGGCTGGGTGGCTAAGTGGCTGGCTGAGTGGCTGGGTGGCTGGCTGAGTGGCTGGGTGGCTGGCTGAGTGGCTGGGTGGCTGGCTGACTTACCGATATGAGCACATGTATACCTTTGCTACTCATACACACCATTTTTTTCCTAGACTTGTTAAGAACTGCTGCACTAGCTGAGCCAGAGGATGAGCTGAAACTCTACAGCGAGAAGGGACATCTGATCTTCATTTCTCCAAAAATGAAACCCAATGACCCAACAACACGCTACGTACTCAAGGTCATACCTAAAACAATACGTAAGTGCCAGTTTGAACTTCAATAAATGCTGCTCTCCTTAAATGCTGTCACTCTCTCCTTAAATGCTGTTACTCTCTCCTTAAACGCTGTCACTCTTTCCTTAAACGCTGTCACTCTCTCCTTAAACGCTGTCACTCTCTCCTTAAACGCTGTCACTCTCTCCTTAAAGGCTGTCACTCTCTCCTTAAAGGCTGTCACTCTCTCCTTAAAGGCTGTCACTCTCTCCTTAAACGCTGTCACTCTCTCCTTAAACGCTGTCACTCTCTCCTTAAACGCTGTCACTCTCTACTTAAAGGCTGTCACTCTCTCCTTAAAGGCTGTCACTCTCTCCTTAAAGGCTGTCACTCTCTCCTTAAAGGCTGTCACTCTCTCCTTAAACGCTGTCACTCTCTCCTTAAACGCTGTCACTCTCTCCTTAAACGCTGTCACTCTCTCCTTAAACGCTGTCACTCTCTCCTTAAACGCTGTCACTCTCTCCTTAAACGCTGTCACTCTCTCCTTAAACGCTGTCACTCTCTCCTTAAACGCTGTCACTCTCTGCTTAAACGCTGTCACTCTCTGCTTAAACGCTGTCACTCTCTGCTTAAACGCTGTCACTCTCTGCTTAAATGCTGTCACTCTCTCTCCTTAAATGCTGTCACTCTCTCTCCTTAAATGCTGTCACTCTCTCTCTTTAAACGCTGTCACTCTCTCTCTTTAAACGCTGTCACTCTCTCTCCTAAAACGCTGTCACTCTCTCTCCTAAAACGCTGTCACTCTCTCTCCTAAAACGCTGTCACTCTCTCTCCTAAAACGCTGTCACTCTCTCTCCTAAAACGCTGTCACTCTCTCTCCTAAAACGCTGTCACTCTCTCTCCTAAAACGCTGTCACTCTCTCTCCTAAAACGCTGTCACTCTCTCTCCTAAAACGCTGTCACTCCTAAAACGCTGTCACTCCTAAAATGCTGTCACTCCTAAAATGCTGTCACTCCTAAAATGCTGTCACTCATTAAATGCTGTCACTCATTAAATGCTGTCACTCATTAAATGCTGTCACTCATTAAATGCTGTCACTCATTAAATGCTGTCACTCATTAAATGCTGTCACTCTCTCCATAAATGCTGTCACTATCTCCATAAATGCTGTCACTCTCTCCATAAATGCTGTCACTATCTCCATAAATGCTGTCACTCATTAAATGCTGTCACTCTCTCCATAAATGCTGTCACTCATTAAATGCTGTCATTCATTAAATGCTGTCACTCTCTCCATAAATGCTGTCACTCTCTCCTTAAATGCTGTCACTCTCTCCTTAAATGCTGTCACTCTCCTTAAATGCTGTCACTCTCTCCTTAAACGCTGTCACTCTCTCCTTAAATGCTGTCACTCACTCATGTACTAAGCGATGCTTGCACGTGTGGGTTTAAACATTATTAACTATGTCACACACGTTTCCCCTAGTAGGATCCAGAGGCCCACTGACAGAAGAAAAATACTGTCGTATGTTTTATTGTTTATTCGATGGATCATTTTTTCACATGGGTGTAACCCATAAGTACTGTTCTTTTTCTAACTCAAGGTTGAGTCTAAAGTATCTCAGTGCAGTGCATGAGCTCTGTTACAACAGCGAAGATCCTGAATACTCTGTCGTAAAAGTCTTACTAATTTAAGGGTGAGAGGTGAGGAACTAAGTCTGCCTAAACATAAACTATGTCTGAAAAATGGATGCACAAGCAAAACTCAAGTTCTGAAATAATGCAAAAGTCCAGAAGTGGATGAACAACCTGAACTTTCCACCGGAGTTTAAAGCTGGTGAACGCAAAGAAATAAGTCAGTTTTAAATGCTTAGTTCTTATCAGGTGTGCCAGAACCTGTGGCCTCCTGTGGTGGTGGCCTCCTGTGGTGGTGGCCTCCTGTGGTGGTGGCCTCCTGTGGTGGTGGCCTCCTGTGGTGGTGGCCTCCTGTGGTGGTGGCCTCCTGTGGTGGTGGCCTCCTGTGGTGGTGGCCTCCTGTGGGGCCTCCTGTGGTGGGGGCCTCCTGTGGTGGGGGTCTCCTGTGTTATGGCTTATAGCTTTGCTTCAGTGTCTACACCTTTTAGCCCAACACATCCAATTTAAGCAAGTTCCTAATTGATTATTTTTATGATATGCTTGGGCAGTGGGTCCCTGATCCCACACAAATTTGTCAAGGGCCAGATTTAGACTTGATCAATGTAAAGCCCTAAGGTCTCATGTAGCAGGTCCTTTGCAGAACGTCGCTCTCTTCACCAATTGACTGAAAGACTCTCTCGCCAGTTCTCCCGCCTCATGAACTTTCATACCCATCTTTTAGTTTATCCGCCTCTGCCTCTCCTATCTGGTACAGGATAGGCATAAAAGAATCTGCTGCCTGTGATTGTGGAGCAGAAAGACAGACCCCTGAGTACATACTGCAGTACTGCCCTAACCTCTCCCAGCAAAGACTGGATCTGGCCCAAGGGAGCCACATTGAAAGAGAAGCTATGGGGGACCGGTGGCGACCTTAAATGCACAATCCTATTTTTGACTCAGACGGGACTCAATGTTTAGCATGACTGAAGTCGAACGCAGAAGAAGAATGGTACCATGCCTTCTGCTATTTTTCCAGTCTGCCGTGGCGCTTGATGTGACCAAAATATTTCAGCATCTGAGACAACAAGATGCTGTTTATTAGCCTATTTTCCTTGATGTTTAGATCTTTCAAAAGGTCAAGGCCTCTACTGTTTTAAATTATACCAGCTTATCACCTTTTCAATACGTGAATTTCACATGTGGGGGAAAACCAGAATAGATCCGCTGTTTACCCAGCAAGAATGTCAAAGGAGTCAACTAATTTGGAGCATCCTTTGAAGTCTGAGAGCGAGGAACCAAGTCTGCATGCATAAAAGCCAAATATGCAAAGTGGATGTGCACTCAACATTCTGGTTCTGGAATTAGATTAAAGTCCAGAATGTGGACAATCAGAACTTTCCACCGGCGCTTACAGCCAGTGAATGTGAAGAAGAAATATATAAATGGAAATATATTGTTCTTTAGTACAAGTAATAATAGTGTCTGCAAAATCACATAAAGTATATTATATACTCCATTTAAAGCTCTGTTGAAAAAAAAATTGCATTTGTCAAAAAATGAATTGAGGTCCCTCTGGATTGTGAGGGCCCTGCAGATTGTGAGATCCCTGAAGGTTGTGAGGCCCTAAGCTGCAACTTAGCCAATGCCAAAGTCCAGCACATGCCTCCTCCCAGGGCCTGCCTCTACCCAGGGCCTGCCTCTACCCAGGGCCTGCCTCTACCCAGGGCCTGCCTCCCCTCCCCCCCCCAGCGCCGCCTCCCTTCCTGCCCTCCCCCCCCCCAGCGCCGGCCTCCCCCCCCCCCCCAGCGCCGGCCTCCGCCCTCCCTCCCCTCCCAGCGCCCTGCCTCCCCTCCCCCTCCCAGCGCCTGCCTCCCCTCCCCCTCCCAGCGCCTGCCTCCCCTCCCCCTCCCAGCGCCTGCCTGCTCCCCTCCCCCTCCCCAGGACCTGTCTGCCCCCCTCCCCCCCCCCCCCAGCGCCTGCCTCCCCCCTCCCAGCGCCTGCCTCCCCCCTCCCAGCGCCTGCCTCCCCCCATCAGCGCCAACGCCCACAATGAACCGTTACATATTCAGTGCTGGTGACCTCACTTAATGCCACTTCATGTATTTTGTAATGAACAGATATACAACGTCTGCTCGCTCTGATGCCTGCCGCTGATTCTGATCTTCACAGAATTGAACACAAGTAAGTGTCATGGATTGGTTATTGCAGACTTCATCATAAAATGCTCCCTGTGCCCCAGTGTGGGGGAACACCAGAATAGACCCACTGCCTCCCCAAAAGTACGTAAGTTGTCTAATTGGGGTTTCCTCCAAAGTTGGAGTGCATCTCCTTGAGGCAAGGAACCAGCAGCCTGCATACTGATACCTCAGATCTGTAAAACGGATGTGCATGCAGCCTTCAGGTTCTGGAACAAGTCAAAGTCCAGAGGTAGATGAACAACCAGAAATTTCCGCCGGAGTTTACAGCCTGTGAACGCAAAGATCACCAAGTTCCTTGTGACTGGAAGGCTAACTGTGCACTCCACACTCGGATTACCCTCAGTTTGTGTGCTGACACCACTCCATGCCATAAAAATTCTTTTTTTTTTTTTTTTAAATGAAACCTTAGATGCTTGAAAAAACCAACAGTGAACATTCACAAAGAAGTGCTTGAAAGAACCAACAGTGAACATTCACAAAGCACATAGTACTTGAAACAACCAATAGTTAACATTCCCAAAGATGTTTGAAAGAATCAGTAAACATTCCCAAAGAAGACTGTATTGAAAGAACCAATAGGGGTTTTGTGTATGTGTGTGGGGTGAATGGTTTGTGTGGTGGGGGTGTGGTTTATGTGGATTTTTGGTGGGGTCTGTTTTGTACCATTGTGTGGTGGGGTGTTTTATGTATGGGAAGGGGGGGGGGAGAAGTGTAATTATGTGGTTTTTCTGTCAGTAACACAAATTATACACAAACCTCTTAGGTTGACGCAACTGGAAAAGACAATAACAGAATGTGAAATGCCAGAGACATTGGTTAACCTGCAACAGAAATACAAGCGTATAATTGTTGCTGTCAATGTAAGTACTCCTTAAGTGGAGGTTGTAATTGTAACAAGACTGTTCATTATTTTATAATATCAGTTGGAGCACACAGGCTTTCATGTGGCTGGAATCACAGGACTATTCCCGCGTGTGTGCTGAGTGATTTTTTGAGTATGATCCGGTGGGTCGAGGCAGACTGGTTACGCAGACAGTGGTTTGAGTCATTGTATGACTCCCCTGTGTGTGTAGTTACTTTCATATTCGTCCCAGGGCATGCAGGCGTTGTTGGTAATGAGAGCTGATAGACTGGCAGGCACTGCATTAATTGAAGAAGGCCGACCCATGGATCACGCAGACATTGTCAGTGCCCTTAGATTGTAATGAACAGATATACAATGTCTGCTCGCTCTGATGCCTGCCGCTGATTCTGATCTTCACAGAATTGAACACAAGTAAGTCTCATGGATTGGTTATTGCAGACTTCATCATAAAATGCTTCATCATAAAATGCTCCCTGTGACCCAGTGTGGGGGAACACCAGAATAGACCCACTGCCTCCCCAAAAGTATGTAAGTTGTCTAATTGGGGTTTCCTCCAAAGTTGGAGTGCATCTCCTTGAGGCAAGGAACCAGCAGCCTGTATACTGATACCTCAGATCTGTAAAACGGATGTGCATTCAGCCTTCAGATAGGACGTTCTGAGTATTTGGGAAGCAACGTGTCCACATCACTGCTAAGAATATGCAAATTGAAAGTAAAGATCAGCACAGCCAAGCATGAGAAGCACACCGGACGCACAGTCTTGTTAACCAACATAGGACTGGTACTATTAACCGCACGATGCTGATGAATATGTTGAGAGGGGAATCTGAGCACCTATAGATGTGTCTGGAGTGCTGTGAAGATAATCTAACTCATAACTCATAACTCATCAGTTGAAGCATAAGAGTATTGGTAGAGGACACAAGAACCAACATCTCAGAACTTAGGAAATTCCCATAAGAAAATTCTTCAGCATTCTGAGCCCTTGAGGTTCATTGCTGCAGATATTACCCGCCTCCACTCATCTCTCTGGTTGGCCTTCTCTTTCAAGTTGGTGACGCCAAGTTTTTGCAGGTCTGTCTGGACATTATCTCTCCATCTTCTTGGCCTGCCATTCATCTCCCTTGTGTCTTTACTTCTGTCATCTTACATTCTTTCTATATGTCCCAAACATTTAAGTCTATTAACACTCATGATGCCAATCAATCAGTGGTGATTTAAACAGATTATGAATTTCATTATCTCCATTCCCCGCTATCTGCATCTTTGATGGGTCCAAAGATTCATCGTAAGAACAAAAATTTGTAGTAAGGCTTCATCTCTTTTAGTTGTGCTCCAAGTTTCAGAGCCATATAAAACGACTGGTCTTATCGCTGGTCTTATCGTATATATTTTGATCTTGATGTTGCGAGAATGAGAAAAAAATGGACATGTAAAATTAAACTGTCCAGTCTTTCTGCTTTTCTCTAGATTTTCTCTTGGCATATTTTAAGATTTTTAAATTCTTATGTCAAATCAGCACTTTTGTATGGGGCGGAAACATGACCAACTAAGGCAATTACTAATAAACTACATTAATTCATTAACTGGTGCCTGCGCAGAATAGAAGGAATTAAATAGTATGATAGAATAACTAATGCAGAACTTTGGGAGAGAACTAAACAGGCTTTAGTGGACCAAGAGGTGAGGGGAAAGACGCTGGCATTGGATAGGACACACACTTAGAAAACAGAACAGCATAACTAGAATGTCTTTGCATTGGAACCCCCAGGGGCATAGGAATAAAGGAAGGCCAAAAAACACATGGAGAAGAGAGCTGGAGAATGAAAGAAAGATTGGGAGGACATGGGGAGAGCTCCATGTAATGGCGAAGGATAGAACGACTTGGCGTGAGTTGGTTGAGGGCCTATGCTCCATTGGTGGATAGAAAGTCAGAAGAATAATATTTTAAGAGACATCAGTTATGAGCCTTCTTGTGTGCTGTGTAGAGGTTGGTATTTACAGCCTTGTATGTACCATCTGTCCATCATTTGCAAGGCTGACGTCCAGCTCTGCTGACCAATGTCCGAAGGAATCTCTGGTGCACTATTTGACTGTAGTCTTGACTACCACAGTTATGTTCTGTTACGTTAACTAGTTGGCTAATTGACACATAATCCTCATTGCACATAAATCATTCAGTCTTAAGTGCTTGGATCCCCTTATTAAACCCTCTAGCATGTAAATAAACAGAGGGGGAACCTTTGAGGCCGTTAATAATTATGAATTAATCAAATAAGTGTATTGATCGGCACTCATACACCTCTAGCATGTAGCAGCTCACGACACCAGTTCTGTGTTGCTTTCTTGTTCTTCTTTGGCTTCCTGCATTGTGCTCTTGTCTGGCCACACTCCTTTTAACATGTAGTTCATGTAGGCTGGTCATGGTTGCAGATTTAATCATTACTTTGTTTTCACAAATGTCTTATCTTTTCTCGTAGAGCACTCAGCTTATCAGCACAGTCCTTGACTCATCCGCTCTTCATAGTTGCCTTGCCTGCAAGTCTCACAATTGTGGTAGGACATAGGACTGTTCATAGGACTTGAAAAAGACTTTGGTCACAACATTTAGTTGTATTTGTGCACAAATTTGTCACCCTCTCTGTTGTACTTTCCAGAAATAATGTATTAGGCAGCTCTGCCACAAAATAGAACTCCACAGACACAATTTGGACACAATCGAAGCAGAACTAGAGGTTGACCACACAAGTGATGGATAGATGAAATCTGAGAATATCTCTATAGCTTATACTAACTCCTACGGGAAGTTGTTTGTCCACTTCTGGGCTTTGGTCATGTCCCAAAGCTTTGTGTGAGCATGTTTTACTGGTTTATTTGTGTGCAGACTGTTGGTTGCTTGAGACTGTTATTGATTGCTGGAGACTGTTGTTGGTTGCTGGAGACTGTTGTTGGTTGCTGGAGACTGTTGTTGTTGGTTGCTGAAGACTAAAGTTGTTGGTTGCTGGAGACTGTTGTTGGTGGTTGCTGGAGACTGTTGTTGTTGGTTGCTGGAGACTGTTGTTGTTGGTTGCTGGAGACTGTTGTTGTTGGTTGCTGGAGACTGTTGTTGTTGGTTGCTGGAGACTGTTGTTGTTGGTTGCTGGAGACTGTTGTTGTTGGTTGCTGGAGACTGTTGTTGGTGGTTGCTGGAGACTGTTGTTGGTGGTTGCTGGAGACTGTTGTTGGTGGTTGCTGGAGACTGTTGCTGGAGACTGTTGGTGGTTGCTGGAGACTGTTGTTGGTGGTTGCTGGAGACTGTTGTTGGTGGTTGCTGGAGACTGTTGTTGGTGGTTGCTGGAGACTGTTGTTGGTGGTTGCTGGAGACTGTTGTTGGTGGTTGCTGGAGACTGTTGTTGGTGGTTGCTGGAGACTGTTGTTGGTGGTTGCTGGAGACTGTTGTTGGTGGTTGCTGGAGACTGTTGTTGGTGGTTGCTGGAGACTGTTGTTGGTGGTTGCTGGAGACTGTTGTTGGTGGTTGCTGGAGACTGTTGTTGGTGGTTGCTGGAGACTGTTGGTGGTTGCTGGAGACTGTTGGTGGTTGCTGGCCACTGTTGGTGGTTGCTGGCCACTGTTGGTGGTTGCTGGCCACTGTTGGTGGTTGCTGGCCACTGTTGGTGGTTGCTGGCCACTGTTGGTGGTTGCTGGCGACTGTTGGTGGTTGCTGGCGACTGTTGGTGGTTGCTGGCGACTGTTGGTGGTTGCTGGCGACTGTTGGTGGTTGCTGGCGACTGTTGGTGGTTGCTGGTCGGTGGGCTCCCAGCTTTGGTCGGTCGGTGGGCTCCCAGCTTTGGTCGGTCGGTGGGCTCCCAGCTTTGGTCGGTCGGTGGGCTCCCAGCTTTGGTCGGTCGGTGGGCTCCCAGCTTTGGTCGGTCGGTGGGCTCCCAGCTTTGGTCGGTCGGTGGGCTCCCAGCTTTGGTCGGTCGGTGGGCTCCCAGATTTGGTCGGAGGCCACTAATTGACTAGTCTTGTTGTAAAGTGTCATTAATCTAATATTTTTCAGGGTTTGAAGTACCTCACATTTCTTCGAATCACAGACGATATGATCCCATATGCCAGGCAGAGAGTCATGGCTGCTCCATTCTGGTGGCAGCCATGCCCGGAGAGGATAGCGCTACACCGGAGACAAATTACTGAACTATTCTTGGCTCTCATGTGAGTTCTTCTTCTTTGCCTGGGTTATATTTTTTAAATGGAAATGTTTTTGTTGAACTTTGTTGAGCTTCTGTGCTGAGCATGTGGTGAGCTGTGCTGATCAATGTCCTTAACTCTGCACTCAGCTCTTATTAAAGCCCGGTTGAAGATATAGGTGAGCAGCTTCTCATGTCAATTGATGCAGAATGACTTTAGAACAGTCGTATTTACTTACCTCTTTGAGTCATAGGCCCAGGGTAGTAGTAGTCATAAAATCATAAAATCGACGCATCTTGCGTTCATTGGGCTTTTAGGAAGGAACCTATGAACGTATGGTGCGTTCCTTGAGACTCAGTTTCTGGTTTTTCACAAATATATGGTCTTTTATCTCTAAACTGCAGATTTCAAGGCATTTGGGTTAAAACATGGTTTTGAGATCTAATTATACAATATGCAACTAAAAGTTTAACAAGGCATTTTAAGTTATATGTGCAATTTTTATATCTAATTATTTAATACTAAACCAACACCCCCAGTCATTGCCATTATCAGAAATCAAATCACTTATCAAGGGAGATCCCCGGCTCGCTAGAGTAGTTGGCTAATCCTGACTTCATTGTGACCAGGTGACAACTCCTTGAGGTCCGGTTTCATGCCCAGGGGTAGGCAAAGCCATTTTCTCCCAGCCATTTTCTTCCATATTGACGATATCTATCATGGAATCAAGGCAGAAGGGTTGCAATATCCATAATACCGAGCCTAAAGGTAAACAACTCATGGTTTCTGGACACAAAAAAGACTACTTGAAAGAACCTCTCACTTCTGCAGCCTGTGAATGTGCAGATTAAAACTTGGTACAAAAAAGCTGACTGATTTGTATCAGTGCTAATTTTACGACCTTTGCTTGTTTTCATCCTTCTGAGGCTGTTATCAAGAATATGTCAGTTGGGTGATTTTGTGCATTCATGTCCGTACTTGTGGTTTTGTTGATTTATGTTGAAATAGGGATCATCACAGCACTCTGGACACCCCCATAATCACTCCATCCCCATATTCAGCAGCAAGCCAAGAGTTAAAAATCTGATAGTACCATTGTCTGATTGTAAATCCGTCTTGCCTTTCCCATGAGTGTCGAGCATACGTAATGTGCTGATGATGGCTCTGTAGCCGCAACGTTCACTTTCCATTTTTACCCGTGTGGGTTCCGGCACCCTGTTGAAGGGAAAACAAGAATAGACCTACTGCCCACCCAAAAGCATGTCCTAAGAGACAGAAGTTTTGTGACTTCCTTTGAAGTCATGACTGCATCTGCCTGAGAACAAGGTACCAACAGTCTGCACACAAATGTCAGATCTGTAAAATGATGCACATGCAACTCAGGTTCTAGAATCAAAGTCCAGAAGTGGACAAACAACCAGAACTTTCTGCCAGAGTTTACAGCCTGTGAATACAAACTTTCCATTTGTTTCTTATATTGCAAAGCTCTCTGGTCTGCTTTCTGTTTGATTGTACATCTTTCATTTTTGCTATTTTAGTTTGGCTGGTGTATCAGATGAGGTCAGAATGAATCTACGCAAATCCAGCTTTGACGCTTGGCAGTGCAGTGATGCGCACATGTTAGCGTACATTCGTCAGATGTTCATTGACCTTGATCTTGTAGCAAATTTTCACATAGACGTAAGTTTCTATTTAATCTCAGAAGTTTGTTTGTTTGCATTCACTGGCAGTGAACTTCTATGAAGTCCTGGTTGTTCATCCATTTGGACTTTGGCTTTATGCTAAGGTCATAGTCTTTCATGCAAATCTGTTTTCCTGTTTTATTTTCACAATTCTGATATGTGGAAGCTTCTGTTGGTTATAAGCTCCACTTTATGAAGAGAGACCTAGACCTGGTGCCCCCATGCATGCATGTTGTAAAAAGTAACTCTTTAGGAGTTTGCTAAAATTGGACTGCATTGGGTCAGATGAACATCACAGCCTAGCTGTAAACCACAATAAGTGCCAGCCACCCTTTAAGGAGCACAGACAGCATGAATGGAAATCAACTATAGTTTTGAGAAAAATAAAAATACATCTTAAAAGTCCATGCCATGTGGTGTTGGTAGTCATGTTTAACCATAACTTTGTCTCATGTACTTTCAATCAACTCTGACACAGATGATCTTCCATACTCTATGCCGTGTGGCGTTGGTAGTCATGTCTATCTACAACCTTCTGTCTCGTGTACTTTCAGTCAACTCTGACACAGATGATCCTCCATGCCGTGTGGCGTTGGTAGTCATGTCTATCCACAACCTTCTGTCTCGTGTACTTTCAATCAACTCTGACACAGATGATCTTCCATACTCTATGCCGTGTGGCGTTGGTAGTCATGTCTATCCACAACCTTCTGTCTTGTGTACTTTTAATCAACTCTGACACAGATGATCTTCCATACTCTATGCCGTGTGGCGTTGTTAGTCATGTCTATCCACAACCTTCTGTCTCGTGAACTTTCAATCAAGTCTTGACACAGATGATCCTCTATGCCATGTCAAACTGTCCAGCATCTGTTCTCTTGGTCTCCCTCTGCCTCTTCTCCCCTCCAACTTTCCTGCTGTCGTGATGCACTCCACTTTTCTCCCCATCAGATGAATCATGGATTGGTTTGTAAAATAAAAATAATTTAAACTTTACTCAGAAATTGAGGATCTACTGGCCGAGTAGTTGAGAATGTTTAGCTCTCATTTAGGAGACCCAGGTTTGAATCCTAGGTTCCAAGTGGGCTCCATAACCCATGTTTGGGAGAGATAAATTGACCCAGTAGACCCCTAACATAAGTCTTAGTTTCTTTCAAAATCACTCATCCACCTGAGAGGTCAGGAACCAACAGTCTGCATACAAATAAGCCAGATTTGTATAACAGGATGTCCTCACTAAACTTCTGGAACAAAAGTCCAGAAGTGAACAACCAGAACTTTCCACCGGAGTTTACAGCAGGTGAGCGCAAAGGTTAGGAAAAAAGTTACTGCTAGTAAATATTTCAGGCTGTAATTCTGTAGAGAACAAGGGAAAAATTGCATCCATTATAAATTTTAGTTTTGGGTTATTTTACTGTATAATATATACCGGAGCAAGCCACTATAGTATAGCAACTAGATTCACACCTGTGGATTGGAAGGTCAAGATCATGGGCACAGCTACGATGGAAGTATTTTGTCTTCCAAAAGTGACATTGGCTCCCAGGTGGACCAGGCCTTGAGCGGGTACCAGGTGCAGTCCTGGGAAGTAAAGGTGGCTGGCGGGATGCTGACCCCATCACCCAGCAAGTGCCAATTAGTCTACAAAATATGTCTAGCCCTATATACCCAGTTGGCCTGAAAACATGGAAAAGTCATTTACTTATTGTATTGTATTTTAATTTTGGGGTCTACAGGTCAAATTTGTGTTGAGTAGGATTTTTTTTCATAAGTGACCTTAGCTCCTAAGTCAGCCCAGCTTAAAATGGGTATCAGGCAGTGTCCTGGGAAGTAAAGGTGGCCAGGGTTATATTCACATCACTCATGAAATGCCAGTTAGACTAAAAAATATGAAAACATTGTATGCTCAATGCACCTGGTCCCCATGAAAAAATCTGTCACTTTGTCTCCTTCCGGTTAAAATGGACACTAGGCAGCGATACTGTTCGAAGCAGAGACAAATTTTTTTCCTTCTGCCGGACGGTGGCCGATGCATTTTTGCTCCATTTGTAGACTGGATATAGTTTCGTCGCCCAGCTTCAGAGTTGAATGCATGGCGTGACCCTGTGAGTTGCGGATTGCATTTGCAATAATTTCTCAACTGTGACCGTGTTGTTGTGAATTGTAGATTCAGAAAATGGCGTGATGCCTGTCGTGCAATGTTGGCGGTGCCCGTATCTGGTTAAAATTGATTGCATGGGCAACTGCTGATCTGTTGGCGACAAGTTCTGCTATCAATGATGAACTGCATTTTTAATGTTGGACTGTTTGTGTTAGCTCTTCGGATGGCTACCGTATGCTTTAATGCGAGTGTATGCTAGATATGCTGAGACAGCAGTCTGTCAATCTTTCCACAAGGGACTGTGATAAACATTCTGTGTTTTTCGTTGGCACAGGAGCGGAGCAAAGATGGGGTGACCCGTTTGCTATGAAGCTGAAACTAAGACTACCAAACTACCAATTGTCTCCTACCCAAACTGTTGAATGTTGGAATTAAAAAAATCGACATCACAGCACGCTGGACACTCATATAAGCGCTCCATCTCTATTCCTCAGCATCAAATGAGTTCCAATTCCGATGGCACCAGTAACTGTCTGTATATCCATCTCGACTGTCCCTGAGGGTTGCACGTCAGCCAGGTCTCCTGGTAACTCATCAAAGTGCCATTTGACTAAAATGATCTATTTGTGATCTGTTTTTGTAAGTCAGGTGCTACAAAACCTCCTACATAGCTGAACAGGAAATCTGGGGTTTGTTCTTGTGAATTGACATCCATAATTGGCTCTTTGAGTCACTGGCGGTGGAATCATTTGGTGCAATACTGTAGTGGTGGGAAAAATGACATTCATAACTCAAGCTACATATTGAGAAAAGCAGTTTAAATTCTGTAGTTGTAGGAGACCCAACTGTGGCTTTGATATAGTTGAACAGGTCTGGTCCAGTAGGATTAACATTTAAATAAATGCTCTTTGAGTCACCGTATCAAAGCTTTGTTTCCAGTGATTTCTAGGCCTGTATTTTGGGGGGTGGAGGGGATGGGGAATCCACTGCCTCTTAACATCTCCCAAAAGGTGACTGATTTGTTGAAAATGAGGTGCTTTTATTATCCTACCCCAGATGACGTCACAGGACCTTCCAACATTTTAGTGTGGTAAGACTGGGTTTCCCAGCTTTCTTATGCTTTTAACGACCCCAAAACATCTAGAACTGGCCCTAATCACAACCCACCTACATCCCACAAGAGTGCAGCCTAGGTCCTACAACTGCATGCAGTCTATCTACCACCCCCTGAAATATTACTGTCCTGTGACCTGTGAATTTCCCTGCTTAGGGTAAGATATTAATAAAGCACCGAAAATTAATTTTGTGAAACTTAATACAGCCAGGTTATAAAACCACAATAAAACTTGGCAACCACCTTTTAAGGGTTAAACTTTAGGAGACATTCAAGGTTTTGTTGATTCTAGCGTGTTTATTTTACATTGATTGCCTCTTGTTTTTTTTTTTTACAGGAACAGATTCTCCGAAACTTTCTGATCAAGGTTTACTACAACTATAACTTTGTTCCGTTCCACAATTTCAGGCACTGCTTTTCTGTCACTCAGATGGTAATGTATTTTTGGGTTGTTTACATGTTAACTTATCCACAGATGAATATCTAATGTTAGGAATGGACAGAAAGGGGCCTTAACCTTTGGCTGGCAGCTGGTCTAGGAGAGAAGCTCTGACAAGTGGACAGAGCACTGTTCTTCTGATCCGGCAGTTTCTGCAGTAGGCTCTGTTCCCAACACACTGGGGTGCTACCTTTTCCTTTAAAGTCAACAAAGCAGACCCATAGAGGGATCATTCTGCCTGGGTAACACATGACCTCTACAAAACTGCCCAGGTTTTGCAATGGTTAAGTGCCGTGCATCTAATAAACATGTAATGGTAATAGTAATCCTAAAATCTCGGGCGTTTACAATGCAAGCAAAAGGCTGGTATTCTGTGCCTTCCTCAACCACAATGAAACTTGTCTGGGAAGATAGAAGGGTGCCAGCCACAACAAATTTTTCTTGGGTGTTACCTCTGTTCTGTTGAATGTTACCTCTGTTCTGTTGAATGTTACCTCTGTTCTGTTGAATGTTGCCTCTGTTCTGTTCAGTGTTCTCCCTCTATTCTGTTCTATTCCCTCTATTATGTTGACTGTTACCTCTATTCTGTTCTGTTCCCTCTATTATGTTGACTGTTACCTCTGTTCTGTTCTGTTCCCTCTATTATGTTGACTGTTACCTCTGTTCTGTTCCCTCTATTATGTTGACTGTTCCCTCTGTTATGTTCTGTTCCATCTATTATGTTGACTGTTATCTCTGTTCTGTTCCCTTTGTTATGTTGACTGTTACCTCTATTCTGTTCTGTTCCCTCTATTATGTTGACTGTTCCCTCTATTATGTTGACTGTTCCCTCTATTCTGTTGACTGTTACCTCTGTTCTGTTGACTGTTACCTCTGTTCTGTTGACTGTTACCTCTGTTCTGTTGACTGTTACCTCTGTTCTGTTGACTGTTACCTCTGTTCTGTTGAGTCTTTCCTGTTATGTGTTTTCCTGTTTTCATTGGGTCTCTTCTGTTCTTTAATTCCACTGAGTGTTCACTCTGTTCCATTCTTTGGTTCTGTTGAGTGTTCTGTTCTTTGGTTCTGTTGAGTGTTCCCTCTGTTCTGTTCTTTGGTTCTGTTGAGTGTTCCCTCTGTTCTGTTCTTTGGTTTTGAGTGTTCCCTCTGTTATGTTCTTTGGTTTTGAGTGTTCCCTCTGTTCTGTTCTTTGTTTCTGTTTCCTATGTTCTATTCAATGGTTCTGTTGAGGTTCCCTTTATGTTCTTAGGTTCTGTTAAGTGTTCCCTCTGTTCTGTTCTTTGTTGTTTCCTGTTTTGTTCTTTGGTTCTGTTAAGTGTTGCCTCTGTTCTGTTATTCCTCTGTTCTGTTGAGTGTTGCCTCTGTTTTATTGTTCCTCTGTTCTGTTGAGTGTTGCCTCTGTTCTCTTGAGTTCTCTGTTCTGTTTGAGTTGGTCTCTGTTCTGTTGTTCCTCTGTTCTATTGAGTGTTGCCCCTCTGTTCTGTTGAGTGTTGCCCCTCTGTTCTGTTTGTGTTCCCCCTGTTCTGTTTGTTCCTCTTTTCTGTTTGTGTTCCCTGTGCTCTGTTTGTTCCTCTTTTCTGTTCGGTGTTCTCTCTATTCTGAGCGCTCCCTCTGTTCTGTTGTTCCTCTTTTCTGTTCGGTGCTCTTTGTTCTGTTGAGTGCTTCCTGTTCTATTGTTCCTCTCTGTTGTCGTATATTGCCTCTATTGTGTACATCCATTACTTTATTCTGTATTGCATTTAATTTGCTCTATATTTTATTTGATCTATACATATATATATTCTGATCCATTCTATTGTCTTTGCTACGTTCTGCATTGTTTACTCTGATCCTCAGATGTACACTTTGATCTGGACCCTTGACCTCAGGTCACAGCTTGACCATGTGGACATCTTCACACTGATGACCACTGCCATATGCCATGATCTGGACCACCCAGGCTACAACAATAATTTTCAGGTAAACGATGTTTTCCTCTTCTGCTCATGATTCACTGTCCACTTCCTCCAGTCCAGTGGCCCTAAGGTTGACCCTGTCAGGTGGCCCTAAGGTTGACCCTGTCAGGTGGCCCTAAGGTTGACCCTGTCAGGTGGCCCTAAGGTTGACCCTGTCAGGTGGCCCTAAGGTTGACCCTGTCAGGTGGCCCTAAGGTTGACCCTGTCAGGTGGCCCTAAGGTTATCTGGTAATCTGGTAATCTTAGTTTCAACTTCATAGCAAAGGTCACCCCACAGTTGCTCTGCTCCTGTGCCAACAAAAAACACACAGAATGTTTATCAGTCCCTTGTGGAAGATTGACAAACTGCTGTCTCAGCAAATCTAGCATACACAGGCATTAAAAGCATACAGTAGACGTTGACCCTGTCCGATGGCCCTCAGGTTGACCCTGTCCGGTGGCCCACTGGCTGACCCTGTCCGGTGGCCCACTGGCTGACCCTGTCCGGTGGCTGGCTGACCCTGTCCGGTGGCCCGCTGGCTGACCCTGTCCGGTGGCCCGCTGGCTGACCCTGTCCGGTGGCCCGCTGGCTGACCCTGTCCGGTGGCCCACTGGCTGACCCTGTCCGGTGGCCCACTGGCTGACCCTGTCCGGTGGCCCACTGGCTGACCCTGTCCGGTGGCCCACTGGCTGACCCTGTCCGGTGGCCCACTGGCTGACCCTGTCCGGTGGCCCACTGGCTGACCCTGTCCGGTGGCCCACTGGCTGACCCTGTCCGGTGGCCCACTGGCTGACCCTGTCCGGTGGCCCACTGGCTGACCCTGTCCGGTGGCCCACTGGCTGACCCTGTCCGGTGGCCCACTGGCTGACCCTGTCCGGTGGCCCACTGGCTGACCCTGTCCGGTGGCCCACTGGCTGACCCTGTCCGGTGGCCCACTGGCTGACCCTGTCCGGTGGCCCACTGGCTGACCCTGTCCGGTGGCCCACTGGCTGACCCTGTCCGGTGGCCCACTGGCTGACCCTGTCCGGTGGCCCACTGGCTGACCCTGTCCGGTGGCCCACTCTAAATGGCTTGATCTGTCTGGTCCCTGTGTGGGTTCCGGGGCCCTATTATAGGGTAAAAAAAAACAATAGACCCACTGCCTACCCAAAAGCATGTCATAAGAGTTGACTAATTAGGAGCTTCCTTCGAAGTTTGATTGCATCTGCCTGAGGCAAGGAACCAGCATTCTGCATACAAATGAGTCAGATATGTAAAATGGATACACACGCAAGACTTAGGTTCTGGAACAGGTCTGCAGTCCAAAAGTGGATGAACAACCAGAACTTTCCACCAGAGTTTACAGCTGGTGAACATGTAGAAAAAGATCTGTTGGGCAGGACACCTAGATAGCCTTCTAATTCCTAGCATTCACACTCTGTAAATTCAGGCAGAAAGTTCTGATTGTTCGTCCACCTGTGGACTTTAATCATGATTCAGAACTTGTTTAGCATACATGTTTTGCATATCCTGCTTATTTGTACGCAGATTGTTGGTTCCTTACCTCTCAGGCAGATGCATTCTAACTTTAAAGGAGCTGAGTCAAGAATTGACATCACAGCACTCGGAGCATTCCCATGCATGCTCCGTAATCTTCAGCAGCCAGCGCAGAGTTCCAATACTGATGGTACCAGTTACAATCTGGTTAAATGTCCATCTTGCCTTTTCCCTGAGTGTAGTGAGTCGGCCAGACCCTCTGGTTACACCCAGGTGCCTCATTCTCTCCAGGCCATAATCTTTCTCTACTGATTCCATTGCTTGTTCCCCAAGAGCTTTGACCACATCTGCCGTGTCATGTATCAGTTCACCACCCAGTGGGGCAGATCCAGCCAATCTGTCTGCCTGTTCAATACCCACTACGCCGGCATGGCCTGGAGAAAAGATCCAAAGTATGCTCACTACCTGTGACCTTTCCAGTGAAGCTTGCCACTCTGCTCGAAGCATCCATCTTCACTTTTTTCAGCATGCTTTCAGTCTGTAAAAGTCTGTTACTTTAAAGGAAACACCTGTATTAGTCACCTCCTGCAAGGCATTAATCCTAAGTGGACAAACCATTTGGTCTGCTGTCTTTGTAATTTATTGTTTAGTTATGTGCTGACTTTTTCTATTATGACCTAAATCCTGAGTTTTCTCTTCTGGTACTTACTTACTTTACTTTTTCCTTCCACGTATGCCACTAAGCGTTGTGGGGAGATGCAAGTTCCTGTCATAAGCAAGGCGGGCAGCATCTGATGTTCTGAGGCCATGCTTTTGGCAGGTTTCGGAGACCCTGTCAATCCACCGTTTCCTTGGTCTTCCTCTTGCCTTATATCCTGAGCTTCTTTGGTTGAAAATTTGTGATGTTATTTGATCATTTTTCATCCTGGTTAGATGTCCAAACCATTTCATTCTTTGATGTTCTATGTAGTCTAAACATGGCGTAGTTTTGACAGTGTTTCTAATGTCTATATTCTTTATCCTGTCTAGTCTGGTCTTGTTCGCTGCTTTTCTTAGACATTTCATTTCAGACTTCTATTTTTCTTTCATGGGTCTTGTTGATTGTCCATGTTTGGCACTGGTAGCAGAGTGTTAGAATGAAGATGGTGTTTATCAATTGTCTTTTGGTCTTCATGGTTATATCTGGATGTTTAAGCAGAGGTGATAGTTGGTATGTGACAGCATTTGCTTTCTGTATTCTTGTTTCTATCTCTCTGTCCATTCTTCCATCCTCTGTAAATATACTGCCCAAGTATTTGAACTCTTTGGTTTGCTTGATTTTGGCACTTCCAACATTTATATTCAGTGGCCTGTGTGTTCTGCTGATCTTCATAACTTCTGTTTTTTCTGTACTGATTCTCATATTATGTTGTAAACAGCTGTTGTTGAGAGTAGTCCGATGTTCCTGTAGATCATATTCATTTTGATACAGTATGCTTTGATCATCAGCAAAAAGTAATTCGTTTATAGCATACACGTCTGGGTTTGCTTCTACAGTGATCTTATCCATGTATGTTATGAAAAGTAATGGTGACAGTACACATCCTTGTCTGACACCAGTTGTGACTTTGAACCATTCAGAAAGACCACTAGATGTTCTTACTGCACTTTCACTTTTTTCATAGAGGGCTCTGATGTTGTCTAATAATTGACCCTGCACTCCGTAATCGTCTTCTGGTGAAAGATGAAAATGGGCATACTTCGTGCAGAGTGACAAGCATCACTTCAGAGGTCCTGGGTAGTTAGCATCCTTTGGATATTTTCTTCAGGTCATGCCGCGTGTTGGGAAATGAGCAGACAGATAGACTGGCTGGTTCTGCACCACTTGGTAGTCAATTGATGTATGAAAAGTTAGATATTGTGGGAGCCCTTTGAGAATGGAACATTGTGGAGGCGCATTTAGATTATTATGTTCTGAGGAGAATGGTGCTGCAAGGAGTTACCAGGGGATCTGCCTGATGCTTAACTCAGGGGAAGGATGAGACGAATATACAATCAGACGTTTATTGGTAACATCGGAATTGGAACTCTTCGTTTGATGTTGAAGATGGGGACTGAGCACTTATGGGGGTGTCCCGAGTGCTGTGGTGTCGATTCTTAAACATTCATCTTTCTGGTCACTCCTGCAACTTCTCATAGATCTCATTTCCTTGGTTGATATATTGCGTTTTGAGGAGGCATGAGACTCACAGCCCGTGGCGAAGGCGAGTGTGACTAGCAAGACCCGCCCGTGTCAAGAAGTCTTCCACAATGATAGCATGGGATTTCCGGACCATTGTTGTCAACATTTGTGTTTAATCTGTTTCTTTTCAGACGCTCAGCTCTCATCCTTTCTGCAATCATTTCTTCCTTAATTCTCATTCCCTTCCTGATATGCTCCCTCCACACAACATGGTCCATGGCATTTTGTTCTGAGTCGCCCTCAACACCTGTATCATTCATGTACCATTTGCACATGTCTTTATATCGTAGTACAAGTCATTCTCAAAATCTTCTACCCGTCTTTAATTCACCATAAAGGATTCTTCAGGTGTGACCAAGCCACCTGAGCCTTCGTAGACTGAGGATTGAGAAGACTGTTGTAATCATTTCTGTGTTTAGTGCATATGGGTTTCTCATTTCTAGACTTTCATAGCTTTGCCTTAGTCGCTCCTCTTCTGCCTTGGGGTGTAGAGGTTTGCCAGAGATCGCCAGACGTCTATCCGTTTTCTTTTTTGCTTTGTCATAGCTTTACTGTGGTCACTTTATTTTGATATTTTTCAGCAAGCCACTGAAACGAATTTGTACAAAAGACACAAGGAGTCGCCTCTAGAACACCACCATGTGGAGGTTGCCATGGAGATTCTCAATGATGAGTCCTGCGGTATTGACCAATTTCTTCCTCCAGAAAGACGCCAGCCTTTTCGTGACCTCATGACCAAGTTTGTAGTCCGTTTTCTTTTTTTTCTGCACATCTTGTTCCCATTTATAGCTTTCTTTCCTTTGACATTGAAATGAGGGTTTTAACTCAGCCACAAAAGTATAAGGATCTTATGAGATTATTATGCAGTAACGATCATCCCCCCCCCCCTCCTCCCCAACCCTATCAACTTTATTTGGGGGAAGGGGGGGGGGGGGGGGGTTATATATAGTCATGTCTACACACTGCAATTACTGCAAAAGATAGAGGTCAAAGTAATGTTTATGTACCCACGCGCCACCATATACACACTAGCTCACTTCTTATTGGTAGTTCCTGAACCTGTCACCATGGCACATGGTTACAGGGGTGTTCCGCAATGCCGTTCATAACGCTGTTGTATATTTCAGCATGCCAGCACTTTCAACACTCCAAAAACATGGAGAAACTGTTCCTAACACAACACCCCTAGAGTGCTGCAAACTATGTCACAGGCATTCTTTCTCGAAATGGAAGACGTAAATGCAAGACTTCACAGAAAGCAGAGCGGGACACACCCTTAACCTTCAGGAAAGTTGACCAGCCCAACAAAATTGTGAATAAAAAGTGACCTACTCTATTTGGGGAGATTAACGTGAACCTAACCGAGGTAGATAATGATGCAAGTGGGAGGACAACCGTAGGGATTCAGATTCTTCTTCTTCTTCGTTCACCGGCTGTGAATTCGGGCGGAAGGTCCCGGTTAATCGTCCACTTGGACTTTTGGCTTTTACCTGGAACTGAGTTTTCAGGGACTTTTAGATTGACTCTGAGGGCTTTTTTTGTGTGTGGGTTTTTTGAAGGGCTTATAGATGGGATATTTCCATGTTTTATAGATTTTAATGTTAGCCCTAATGTTTGCAGAATCATTCTCGCAACAGACCTGGTTAAAAGTAAGGACATTCTGAATGCTGTGAATGCAATCACAGAACTGGACTTAACCAACGATGAACATAAACATGCCGTAAGTCAGTTTCTGTAAGTCTTAGTCAAAGATTATAAATTGCTACAATCGGGTTTTCCCAAACTTGCTCCGTTCCTGTGCCAATGAAAAATGAAATGAAATGTCCCTCCCTGTCGCATTTGAAAAATTGGTAAACATAGTCCCAGAACCATCCAGAAATATGCGCATGCAGTAAATGAACAAATTTCAGTTGCTAGAGGCACCAAAGCCAACAGTCGCTACCAGAAATGCAGTTTGTCATTGATGGAAATAGTCAGGCGTAACTTGGCTACTGTACGCATGTAGAATTATTACATATTTCACCAGCTCAACACATAATTACATATTTCACCAGCTCAACACATAATTACATATTTCACCAGCTCAACACATAATTACATATTTCACCAGCTCACCACATAATTACATATTTCACCAGCTCACCACATAATTACATATTTCACCAGCTCACCACATAAACTGGCTACCGGCCATATTGACTACCTGTTTCTGCTAAAAGCAAAAGCCACACAGTGTGCGTTGGATAGAAGCTAAGTAGAGCAGGTTAAGTTGAATGTTGTTGAATTAAGAATCGACATCACAGTATTCAGGACATAAGTGCTCTATCCCTATCTTCAGCAGCGAGTGAAGATTTAAATTCTGATGGTACCAGTAACTGTCTTGATTGTATATCCCTTTCCCCTGAGTGTCAAGCGTCAGGCAGGTTAAGTTTGTGTGTGGGGAGTGGGGGACTGTATCTTTACTTTTTTAGAGGATTTTTTCCCCAAAAAGAGTAGAAATGGTTAACGATTCCGGTGGCACCAATAACTGACTGAATATCCGTTTCACCTTTGCCCTGAGGGTTGCGTGTCAGCCAAGTGCCCTGGTAATTCATCAAAGCACCAATTCTCCTTAGACTGGAATTATCTATTTGTGATCTATTTTAAGTCAGGTGCTACAAATTCTCCTACATAGCTGAACACTTAGCTTGTTTTTTTTTTTCAGTTAATGTGCAAACATTGACAGCTAAAGATAAAATCCTTTTGGATCGTCAAATGTTGTGTACACTTGACCCTGCTGTATGATGCAGAAACTTGGACAACAAACAGGCAACTAGAAAATTGAACAAAATCAACAGTCTCTGGAAATGTTGATGTACAGAAAGAAAGGTCATATTTAATGGAAACAAAAACTTGTCTAAAAGGGAGGTTCTGGAGACCTTGAATTAGATTTTTTAAATTTATTTTGAACACATGAAAAGAAATAACTTTTAAAAACCACACTGCATGGAAAAGTCAAAAGCAAGGAAGCAAGAGGTAGACAGTTAAAAAAGTAAAGATCCCTTTACACGCCCATAGGCGCATGGGGCATATGGGAAGAGCACCCATATTTTTACAGACCAATCGACGTCACTCGGTGGGTAATGTGGTCAGCATTACGCCGGCCGTCTTTACTTTCCCAGGACAGTCCATCCTGGTACCCATTTGAGGCTGGGTCGACCTGTTACAGGTGGGAAAACAAGATAAGCATGAACAGCAGTCTGAGTACTACCGAGACTGTGTTGATCCATTGCAGCCAACCTTCATTGCTTGAGAAGGCACTGTTAGATATAAAGTAAATCAAAATGGTCACCTATTCTTCTGAATGCTCACATCTGCAAAGACTCAATTTGATTTTTTTAACTTCTGATTGCAAACAACTCTCTCAGGCTCTAGTGGCATGCAGCCTTCTCAGGCACACTGATAGTTCAAGATGAACGTCTAGGGTGACCAGATTGGCCCCATTCATCAATGGAATTCAACATTACCCTCACAGGATCAAACAAACCACCTCTAAGCGTAGCCACTTAAAAAGCTACCAGATTTACACTTGAACAGACTCGTCTTGCAGCAGACGCCAACTCTGTCATTTGTACAGAACTGGATAGCCAGGTTTTTCTGACTGGTCAGGTGCTTGTTTAAACCCTTACGTTCTCTCTCACTTTCCATTCGTCATACGACCTGGCTTTCTCAGCGTTGAAAACAAGACAATCTTCTCAATCATTCCAAGTTTAAATAACCTTGATTCTCTGAGTTCTCAAATGTTCCACAGATTTATGCTTTTTCTCATGTCACACTTTCAGCCATCTTGCACACTTTTCTTAAGTTATTCCTTACACGATCCTCTTCTGCATACATTGTACTTTATCATTTATACCATTCAACCAAAGTCAGGCACATAATTTATGCTTAGTAGCTAACATTTACAAATGAGAGCACTAACAGTAGCTAACATCATTTACAAATGAGAGCACTAACAGTAGCTAACATCATTTACAAATGAGAGCACTAACAGTAGCTAACATCATTTACAAATGAGAGCACTAACAGTAGCTAACATCATTTACAAATGAGAGCACTAACAGTAGCTAACATCATTTACAAATGAGAGCACTAACAGTAGCTAACATCATTTACAAATGAGAGCACTAACAGTAGCTAACATCATTTACAAATGAGAGCACTAACTGTAGCTAACATCATTTACAAATGAGAGCACTAACAGTAGCTAACATCATTTACAAATGAGAGCACTAACAGTAGCTAACATCATTTACAAATGAGAGCACTAACAGTAGCTAACATCATTTACAAATGAGAGCACTAACAGTAGCTAACATCATTTACAAATGAGAGCACTAACAATGAGAAAATGGCTCATTGCATTGACTGTCCCATAAACGAGATACTTTCTGCCTTGTGCAGCTGTTGCGCGCAATACCATCAATAGACTATAGATTGTCTTCCTGGGTCAAAAGGGTTAATGGTGTTTTCTCTTCTACAGCTGATGACTGCCTTGATTGAGGTCTCAGACATCTCTAATGAAGCTCGAGATCTGCACATCAGTGAGCGCTGGTTGGATTGTCTGCTGCAGGAGTTCTTTACCCAGGTACGTTTCGTCACAGAATCATTCTGTGAAGTCTCTTTAACAGCCTCCTGTCTCGGAAGCTGAAATATTTTGGTCATATCAAGCACCGCGACAGATTTGGAAAATACAGCAGAAGGCATGGTACCAGGGAGGGGCAGGGGACAACAGACACAGGATATAAGTGACTCCTTGAGTATGAAAGTACATGAGATGGAAGAGCTGGCGAGAGACCAGAGTTTCTTTCAGGCGACCGTGATAAGAGCGACTTTCTGCAAAGGACCTGCAACATGATGATGATGCCCTTTTCTTTTGTGGAGGTGTGGTAGTGTAACAGCTAGGTCAGAAGATCTAGGGTTCCAATCTGTAGCTATCCCTTTGTGGTTTCTGGGGCTCCATTTTGACAATCAACCCACCGCCTCCCAAATGGCAAGTTATTGGTAACTAATTAGGTTTCTCTTAGCCGGATTGCATCCGCCTAATGCGACGAATCAAGTCTGCATCAAAATAATGCTAAACATAAACACACAATGTAACTAGAAAGTTCAACATAGGGAATTAAAAAGATGCTTTATTTAGATGATTTAGCATTTCTTGCAATCAACTCGACTTCAGTGGAGGTGGAAGCGGTAACTGCAGCTCTCTGGTAGCTAGAGAACAAGATCTAGGCACATGTCATAATTGTAACTGAAAGTATGCTGAGAAAGGTGGACAGATGTTTCGAGTGGAGTGGCAAGCTTTACTGAAAAGGTCACGGGTAGTGAGCATACTTTGGATCTTTTCGCCAGCTATGTCAGCGTGACGGGTAATGAACAGGCAGATTGGCTGGATCTGCACCACCGGGTGGTGAATTAATACATGAAAAGGCAAATGTGGTCAAGGCCCTTTGGGAACAAGCAACGGAATCAGAAGGGAAAGATTATGCCCTGCATAGAACGAGGCACCTGGGTGTAACCAGAGGGTCTGGCCGGCTCTCTACACTGAGGAAAGGCAAGACTGGCATATAACCAGATTGTGACCGGTACCATTGGTATTGAAACTCCGCACTGGCTGCTGAAGATGACGCAACATGTATGGGAACGCCCCAAGTGCTGTGATGTCAGTTCTTGACCTAATTCAACTCATTAAAAAACAAAAGTTGGAGATGTGAACTAGCTTCATTGCGCATGATTATAAACCATAAGTGCTCTGCCACCAGTACGGACAGCTAAGAAACTGTCCGCCTGTGTCACCGCCCGCACAAGTAGCTACAGCAATGTCGCACCATTTACCTCAGAGTGTTAACTCTGGTACCATTCCTAGTCTGGGTGAACCCTAGGAACCACTAGGTTTCAAACACCGGCCCTGGGCTGCAGCGAGTCGCAGCTTGATTTGAAGGTGAGTCTTCCATTGACGGCGCCTTATTATAAGAATGTAAGTAAAGGACCTTTTTCCACGCCTGTAGGCATAGGGGCATATAGGGCTAGACCTATATTTTATAGAGCAATCTGCCCTTGGTGGGTAATGTAGTCAGCATCACGCTGGCCGCCTTTACTTCCCAGGACTTCATCTGGTACCCACTCAAGGCTGGGTATACCTGGGAGCCAAGGTCATTTTTGAAAAGTAAGGCTCCCATCAGGACTCGAGCCCATGATCTTTTGATCCACAGGTGAGCATCTAGCTGCTACACCACAGGCGAGTATCTAACTACAACACGGCGACTCCCAATATCAAATAGTGTACTGAACAGCAAATAACTGCAGCTTCGTGTCGCACCTTGCACTCGCACTTGCCTCAGTATCTAAACCATATCCCCTTGAGTCTAGGTATTGAGGTAAATGCAGCGGATAACTTATTGTCAGAAGCAAAAACTTACAAAAACAAAAAGCCTGCCTATCCACTACATTGACAGACATCTCAGCAGGCACTCGTGCAATGTTTCATTACCTGTGTATTCATTTTTTCATAATTCATTATCCTGTTGTGCCAATGCCACAATTCCATGTCAGGGATGGAATCCAGTCTGGCAGCTTTGGCCTCTCTCATTAACATTCACCTTAGTGTTTCTCTTGGATGTCCGTTTCCTCAGTCTATTTCCATATTCATTTCACCTTTGACATAGTTTTTATTCATTTCACTTTTGACAGTTTTGATTCATCTGTTTTTATTAATTTCACCTTTGACAGTTTTGATTCATTTCATATTTTTTATTCATTTCATATTTATTCATTTTACCTTTGACAGTTTTTATTCATTTTATAGTTTTTATTCACTTAACTTTTTTTAAATTTCTTTTCATAGTTTTTATTTATTTCATAGTTTTTATTCATTTCACCATTTGAGTTTTTATTCATTTCATAGTTTTTATTCATTTCATAGTTTTTATTCATTTCATAGTTTTTATTCATTTCATAGTTTTTATTCATTTCATAGTTTTTATTCATTTCATAGTTTTTATTCATTTCACCATTGACTGTTTTTATTCATTTCATAGTTTTTATTTATTTCTCCATTGCGTTTTTATTCATTTCATAGTTTTTATTCATTTCACCATTGACAGTTTTTAATTTCATAGTTTTTATTCATTTCATATTTATTCATTTCACCTTTGACAGTTTTTATTCATTTTATAGTTTTTATTCACTTTTTTTAAATTTCATTTCATAGTTTTTATTTATTTCATAGTTTTTATTCATTTCACCATTGAGTTTTTATTCATTTTATAGTTTTTATTCATTTCATAGTTTTTATTCATTTCATAGTTTTTATTCATTTCATAGTTTTTATTCATTCCATAGTTTTTATTCATTTCAGTTTTTATTCATTTCATAGTTTTTATTCATTTCATGGTTTTTATTTATTTCACCATTGCGTTTTTATTCATTTGATAGTTTTTATTTATTTCACCATTGACAGTTTTTAATTTCATAGTTTTTATTCATTTCACCATTGCGTTTTTATTCATTTCATAGTTTTTATTCATTTCACCATTGACAGTTTTTATTCATTTCATAGTTTTTATTCATTTTACCATTGATAGTTTTTTATTCATTTCACCATTGACAGTTTTGATTAATTTCATAGTTTTAATTCATTTCACCTTTGACCTAGTTTTTAAACAGCATATTTTTGTTTTTAAGCATGAAGTGGAGACGGCAGATGGGCTTTCACCGACTCCATTCATGGATAAAGACAAGGTCACAAAACCCTCAGCCCAAATTGGATTCATTATTGGTATGTTGCTGCCGATTCTTGGGGCTGTCAAGAGGTTCTTTCCCAGCATTCAGGTAATTCCATGAATACACTGCAATAATTGGTGTTTTGTAGATGCTGTCTTGTTTAGGTAATCATGTTAGGTCGTGAGTGCAGAGACTGGCCAGCTGGTTCCGCAGAATCAGCTCAACAGATTGACTATTCCCGCCCAAGTGATGTGATTATCTATACAGATGGCTCTGTATCTATACAGATGGCTCTGTATCTATACAGATGGCTCTGTATCTATACAGATGGCTCTGTGTTATACAGATGGCTCTGTGTTATCTATACAGATGGCTCTGTGTTATCTATACAGATGGCTCTGTGTTATCTATACAGATGGCTCTGTGTTATCTATACAGATGGCTCTGTGTTATCTATACAGATGGCTCTGTGTTATCTATACAGATGGCTTTGTGTTATCTATACAGATGGCTCTGTGTTATCTATACAGATGGCTCTGTGTTATCTATACAGATGGCTCTGTGTTGAGGGGCAGACAAAGTGCATGGGGTTTCATAGCAAAGGCCTAGTGCAGTAAAGCCTTGCATATATCACATCTAGTTTGAGAATGTAGGTGGAGGCAGTCACTGCTGCTTTCGGCTGGCTTGAGAGTTAGCTGTACACACATGTCGTGATTGTAACCGACTCACAGAGAACTGACTCACAGAGTATGTTGAGAAAGGTGAACACAGGCATGAGTAGCAAGCATCGCTTCAGAGGTCCCGGGTAGTTAGCATATTGGATATTTTCTCCAGGTTATGCCGGTGTGGTGGGAAATGAGCAGGTAGATAGACTGGCTGGCTCTGCACTACTTGGTGGTGACCTAATGTATGACAAGTTAGATATTGTGAGGGCCCTTTGGTAACGAGTGAACAGTGAAGGCGCAGATAGGTCATTACGGTTTAAGGAGAATGGCACTGCTAGAAGTTACCCAGGGGATCTGGCCGACGTTCGACACTCAGGGGAAGGATGAGACGGATATACAATTAGGCGGTAACTGGCACAATTGGAATTGGAACTCTTTGCTTGCTGCTGAAGATGGGGACTGAGCATTTATGGGAGTTCTTTGCCAATATTATGGTTTTTATTGTAATTGTTTTGTCCTACTGCCTGTAATAATCAGATGAATTAGGTGTTTCCCATCTTTTGTCCTAATCGTCATCATAAACCACTTCTGCCGTTAAGTGTCGTGGGAAGGAATAATTTGTGATCCAGTGCATGCTGGCTGCCACTGGCTGTTGTCATGCCGTGAAGGTAGTGTCTTTAATGTTGTCGATCCATGTTTTCGGCAATCATCCTCTTGCTCTTGTAGCTGATCTTCTGAGATGTAGTGTTTTTGATGGTATTTGATCTTGCTGCATTCTAACGAGATGGCTAAACCACTTGATCTGCTGTTTCTCGATGAATCTAGTACAAGGTGTCGTTCCCACAATGTGTCTGATAGTATCATTATTCACTCCATCTCGGATGGCTAGGTTGGCTGCTTTTCTCAGGCATTTCATCTTGCAGGTGGTGATTTTGCTTATATGGGCTTTAGGTAGTGTCCATCTTTGGCACTGGTAACTTAACGTTGGAATGAGTATGATGTTTATAATTGTCCTACTGTTTATGCCAGAAAGCATTGCCGAGAGACAGATGTAATCTCCTGTCTTGTCCTAATGCTTCTGCTGGGAGATGTGACAAAAGAGTTCCTTTCTGGAAGAGTTTTGTCATTTCCTTTCTGGAAGAGTTTTGTCATTTCCTTTCTGGAAGAGTTTTGTCATTTCCTTTCTGGAAGAGTTTTGTCATTTCCTTTCTGGAAGAGTTTTGTCATTTCCTTTCTGGAAGAGTTTTGTCATTTCCTTTCTGGAAGAGTTTTGTCATTTCCTTTCTGGAAGAGTTTTGTCATTTCCTTTCTGGAGTTTTGTCATTTACTTTCTGGAAGAGTTTTGTCATTTCCTTTCTGGAAGAGTTTTGTCATTTCCTTTCTGGAAGAGTTTTGTCATTTCCTTTCTGGAAGAGTTTTGTCATTTCCTTTCTGGAAGAGTTTTGTCATTTCCTTTCTGGAAGAGTTTTGTCATTTCCTTTCTGGAAGAGTTACACGTCATTTCCTTTCTGGAACAGGACTAGTCCAGAAGTGGACAAACTAGAACTTTCTTCCGGAGTTTACAGCTGGAGAATGCGAAGAATAGTTTGCAATGATCTGTGGACCACATGCTAAGCCCTCACAGGCCAGATTTGGCCCACAGACTTGACAGAATAGCTGCTGTGCTCTAGTCCTGTTTGGGGGCACTGATAGCCACTATTTGGGGGTCCACCTATATGGTAGGCATTTAAGCCTAATTCAAGACTTCAGATAACAATGTTGAGGTCGACTTGTACACCACAATTTATGGTTTCTTCTTCTGAGCATTCCCTGGCTGTAGACTCCAGTGGAAAACCAGGCTTGTAAAAGTTGCTCTTTCAGGCTTGTAAAAGTTGCTCTTTCAGGCTTGTAAAAGTTGCTCTTTCAGGCTTGTAAAAGTTGCTCTTTCAGGCTTGTAAAAGTTGCTCTTTCAGGCTTGTAAAAGTTGCTCTTTCAGGCTTGTAAAAGTTGCTCTTTCAGGCTTGTAAAAGTTGCTCTTTCAGGCTTGTAAAAGTTGCTCTTTTCAGGCTTGTAAAAGTTGCTCTTTCAGGCTTGTAAAAGTTGCTCTTTCAGGCTTGTAAAAGTTGCTCTTTCAGGCTTGTAAAAGTTGCTCTTTCAGGCTTGTAAGTCGCTCTTTCAGGCTTGTAAGTCGCTCTTTCAGGCTTGTAAGTCGCTCTTTCAGGCTTGTAAGTCGCTCTTTCAGGCTTGTAAGTCGCTCTTTCAGGCTTGTAAGTCGCTCTTTCAGGCTTGTAAGTCGCTCTTTCAGGCTTGTAAGTCGCTCTTTCAGGCTTGTAAGTCGCTCTTTCAGGCTTGTAAGTCGCTCTTTCAGGCTTGTAAGTCGCTCTTTCAGGCTTGTAAGTCGCTCTTTCAGGCTTGTAAGCTGCTCTTTCAGGCTTGTAAAAGTCGCTCTTTCAGGCTTGTAAAAGTCGCTCTTTCAGGCTTGTAAAAGTCGCTCTTTCAGGCTTGTAAGTCGCTTTTTCAGGCTTGTAAGTCGCTCTTTCAGGCTTGTAAGTCGCTCTTTCAGGCTTGTAAGTCGCTCTTTCAGGCTTGTAAGTCGCTCTTTCAGGCTTGTAAGTGGCTCTTTCAGGCTTGTAAGTGGCTCTTTCAGGCTTGTAAAAGTTGCTCTTTCAGGCTTGTAAGTCGCTCTTTCAGGCTTAAGTCGCTTTTTCAGGGTTGTAAAAGTCGCTGTTGCTTTGCCAGTCTTTTTCAGCTTTCCAGGTTCATTGCTGCTGCTATCACCCGCCTCCACTCATCTCTCTGGTTGGCCTTCTCTTTCCAGGTGGTGACACCAAGTGTTTGCAGGTCTGTCTGGATATTATCTCTCCGTCTTCTTAGTCCACCTCGTGGTCTACGGCCATTCATCTTCTTTGGGTATAGCTTTTACTTGTCATTTGACATTCTCTTAATGTGCCCGATATTTCAACCTATAAGCCAGTGATGCCAGTGATCAGCGGTAATTTGAACAGATAATGAATTTCGCTTTGCTTTTCACTCTTGCTTTGCCAGTGCACATTATAATTTGTTTCTGCAGTGACAGTCGTCACAAACCACTTAGTCGCAATTATATTTCATTCATTTCAGGAGTTGATCGATATGGCACAATTAAATTTGAAATACTACCAAAAAATGCAGATGGAGTTTGCCACAGAAGACGTAAAAGACAAAGACGAGCCAGCGAAAAATAATGGTGACGAAAAAAATGGTTCCACACCACATGAAGATGGAAAAAATGGCTCTGCAACACTGGATGGTGATACAAAAAATGATTCCATGCCACCTGGAGATGGGAAAGCTGTCTCCACAACAGATAGTGAAGGAAAAGATGGTTCCATGCCACAAGAAACAGATTTGGCAGAGTCTGCTCAAGATCAGGCAAAGGCAGCACCACAAGAATAAATCAAGAATCTGGCAAGGTCTATACCTTTATACCAGATTGGACTGCCTATTTGAGTTTACTCAGTTACTAAGTTACTAAGTTTCCATTGTGCTCCAAATGTAACTTTCTGTATAATTGAATGGGATTTCTGTTAAGACTAACATCAGAAAACTGGTTCTTTGAGTCACAGGTTGTCAGTTATCAGTCCTTAATGTTGATTGTTGAATTGAGAATCATCACAGCATTGGGGCATTCCCATAAGTGCTTCCTCCTCATCTTCAGCAGCCAGTGTAGTGTTCCAAATCTGATGGTGCCAGTAAGTCTGATTATATATCTATTTCACCTTTCTCTTGAGTGTTGAGCAGCAGTCAGTTCCCCTGGTCACTTCCCCTGCAACCCTTTTCCTCCAATCTGTTTGTGCAGTTTACTCACTCCCAAAGGACCCACCAGACCCCCTGGTCACTTTCCATGCAACCCTTTTCCTCCAATCTGTTTGTGCACTGTTTACTCACTCCCAAAGGACCCACCAGACTCCCTGGTCACTCCCCCTGCAACCCTTTTCCTCCAATCTGTTTGTGCACTGTTTACTCACTCCCAAAGGACCCACCAGACCCCCTGGTCACTCCCCCTGCAACCCTTTTCCTCCAATCTGTTTGTGCACTGTTTACTCACTCCCAAAGGACCCACCAGACCCCCTGGTCACTCCCCCTGCAACCCTTTTCCTCCAATCTGTTTGTGCACTGTTCACTCACTCCCAATAGACCCTTAACATGTATTTTGTCATGCATCAGTTCACCAAGTAATGCAAAACCAGCCATTATATCTGTCTCTTCTATTCCCAACACACTGGCATGACCTAGAGAAAATCTCCAAAGGGTGCTAATTACCCAGTACCTCTAAAGCGAAAGAGTACAGAAAGTTTGTTACTATTGGACATGGTTGCCATTTTCTCAAGGATGTTTTGTTTGTTTTCCAGATACCTCTGCCTTAAAGGGCAGCGAAATAATTGCTCTATGAAATCCATGTTTACCTACCGTGGGCTTTAGAAGAAAAAAAATTCTGATGTACGAGTTAGTGTGGAAAACTTTGGGGCTTTACTATGTAATGATCACATTGATACTTTGCGGCACTTTGCGGCACTTTGCGGCTAACCTCCACATTTTTCAGATAATTGATCTGTAATGAACGAAACCGATTCTAATTTCCAGATTGAAGTTTTTTGTTTGTTTAATGGCACTTTTTCCATTGACTATTTTTGGTTGTTGTTTCTGTTAACTGTCGACTGATTCTGGAATGAGGCAGGCTTGTTCTTGAATGGTGTGGGTGTCTTCTGGAATGGTGCGGATTTGTTACAGAATGGACCAGTTTTGTTATGGAATTGGGCTAGTTTTGTTCTACAAACAGACCAGTTCTTGAATGGGGTGGATTTGTTACAGAATGGACCAGTTTTGTTATGGAATTGGGTTAGTTTTGTTCTACAAACAGACCAGTTCTAGAATGGTGTGAGTTTAATTTGTGATGTTTGTTCTGGAATGGGGCTGGCTAGTTCTATGTTCTGTCTGTCCAGAATTGAGTATTTTGAAAATCCTGAAACATTGAAAATCACTGAAACATCTCTATGCATGCCAGTTTGTGGCATTGTTATGATTTTTCAACCATGTCTTTCATTTTCATGAAATCACTTTCTTGGAAATGTATTTTTCATTTTCTCAGGCCTATTTTTTTGCCTTTTGTTAGAAGTTGGTACATTTTTTCTTACATTAATGGTGCTTTGACTTTTGTATGACAGTATTCTTAATACATTTGAGTTGTTGATCAGTTAGTTTTCTGCTTCTGGTTAACTAGTATAATGTAACTGTGTGGAATGGGTGTATGGAGTGGGTCAGAGTGGGTGTGCATTATTGTTTATAGGATATATTCTTCCCGTTCACCAGCTGTAAACTCTGGCGGAAAGTTGTGGTTGTTCATCCACTCATGTTCCAGAACCTGAGTTTTGCGTGTGCATCTGTTTTACAGATCTGACTCATTTGTATGCAGACTGCTGGTTCCCTACCTCTCAGGCAGATGCACTCCGACCTTGAAGGAAGCTCCCAGTTAGTCGACTCTTACAAGCTTTTGGGTAGGCAGCGGGTCTGTTCTTTTCCCTATAATAGGGCCCTTGAACCCACACAGGGAATATAGGATGTAATCATTACATAGGCATTTATTCAACATGCATCTGAGTTTTCAACATCTGGCAACATTCAACAAAGATGGGAAATATGAAGGAATCAGCAGTTGCAGCAAAGCAGTTGGGACAGCTAGCCCCTCTTAACAGAATAAATCTTATCAACACAAGACTCCACTCATACAGAGTAGGTTCATTCCCACTCTATGCTAAAAGGGCTAGACACATGATCTCTCAGGACAAACCAGAAAATAACATAAGTAACCATGGAAATGAGATGTGTGAGTGCTGTAGGAGTGACTTATCAGCATCAAGTGCTGTGCCACCTTGCATAGGTGTTCATGCATCACCACAGATCTATCTTTGGTATTCTGGATCAATTCCACGGATATTTCTCAATACCAGTCTTAAGCCATCCATCATCATTTCTCTTGGTCTGCCTCTTCTACCAGTGATCTTTCCGGTCATCGTGATATTACCCAGTGCTTTTTTTCACATCACATGACTAAAGAACTTTGTCGCCCTCTCATTGTTGTTTACAATGTTCTACTTTTATTAGCCATTTCCAGGCAATCATTGTTAGTTATTCTGGCAGCTGAAGGTAATCGCAACATTTTTCTTATAACCACATCTCAGTTGCCTCAACTCTTCTTAATTTGAGCAGTGACTAGAAAAGATTAAATAAAAGGTCATAAAGAGGAAAATGAAGCATCCAGGACAAACTCTGAGGAACTCTTGGAGCCTTGCTGCTGTAAAACATGAAACTGATTACACTGCAAGAGTAGGAGGAAGTAGAGTAGTTACTCAGCATGCAGTAGACCCTGGTTCAAATTCTCGGTAAGGCTGGGGATTTTTTCCGTTGGTGAAAATACACTTGCACAGCACTAGCCACTCGGCCGTGAATCCTCAGTCTCACAGACCCCCACCCCTTGCCTACACCACAAAAGTGGTATAGTAAAGGCAGTTATTGTCAGAGTCCCCATTCCTTCTGTTGGTAACTTCTTACCTCCTCCTCCTTCGGCATTCTGAGCCCTTGAGGTTCATTGCTGCAGATATCACCCACCTGCATTTATCTCTCTGGTTGGCCTTAGCATTCTGAGCCTTTATGGTTCATTGCTGTAGATATCACCCACCTCCACTGATCTCTCTGGTTGGCTTTCTCTTTCAAGTTGGTGACACCAAGTGTTTGCAGGTCTGTCTGGATATTATCTCTCCATCGTCTTCTTGGTCTGCCTTGTGGTCTACGCTATTCATCTCCCTCATGTGTAGTTTTTACCTCTTTTATCTACTTTCAAACTGCCACTATTTCAGTCTATTAGCTCTCGTGACGCCAGTGATCATGGTGCTTTAAAGATTTAAACCTGCAATATTATATTTTAGCTTGTCAAGTTGTTACATTAACTCTCTTCTGATGGGGTTGAGTCCTATTTTGGGGGGACAAAAAATAGACAAAAGACCATCATGTCATAAAATGGGACTGATTAAATGGCTTTGAGAAGATAATCACCACACAAAGAAGCATGGAAATAAGGGGATTGAGGAAGCGAAGATGTCAACCTAAAAGAGACATTGATGAGAGAGGGAGACATTGATGAGAGAGGAAGGAAAGAGACACTGATGAGAGAGGAAGGAAGGAGACATTGATGAAGGAAATAGACACTGATGAAGGAAAGAGACATTGATGAGAGAGGAAGGAAACAGACATTGATGAGAGAGAGGAAGGAAACAGACATTGATGAGAGAGAGGAAGGAAGGAGACATTGATGAGAGAGAGGAAGGAAGGAGACATTGATGAGAGAGAGGAAGGAAGGAGACATTGATATGAGAGAGGGAGGAAGGAGACATTGATGAGAGAGAGAGGAAGGAGACATTGATGAGAGAAGACAAAGCTGCTGGACTGAATTCAATCCATGATTTTAAACTGATTCCACAGTAAAAATAGTAATAATAATTCCGCACATAATGACACAACAGGATGATGATGATGTGGGTCCAAAAGTGCAGACATTTTAACTTATAATTTTTTTTTTTAGGGAGAAAAAGGGTGGGGAAAAGTTTAGCTAGACGTAAATTTAAAGACCAAACATCACAAGATGGACCCTGTATGGGTTCCGGTGCCCTATTATAGGGTCAACAAGAATAGACCCACTGCCTACCCAAAAGCATGTCGTAAGAGTCGACTAATTGGGGAGCTTCCTTTGAAGTCAGAGTGCATCTGCCTGAGAGGCAAGGAACCAGCAGTCTGCATTCAAGTGAATCAGATCTGTAAAACTGATGCACACGCAACACTTAGGTTCTGGAGCAGGACTGCAGTTCAGAAGTGGACGAACAACCAGAACTTTCCACCAGAGTGTACAGCTGGTGAACGCGAAGAAGAAGAAGGAGATCACAAGATGGGTGTTGTGGTCAGCATCACGCCTCTACTACCCGGGACTGCACCCGGTACCCACTCAAGGCTGGGTCGACCTGGGAGCCAAGGTCATTTTTGAAAAAAAGTCAGGCACCACCAGGGAGCGAGCCCACGACATTCCGATTCGCAGGCGAGTGTCTAGCCGCTCTGCCACGGCGACTCCTGGGTGGGAAAAAGGGTGGGGGGGGGGGGGGGGCGCTAAGCTCTTGGAATCCCACCTTGTACAATAAAATCAATCTCGTCATCTTTATAAAAGAAATAATTCATCAAACTTGGAAAAAAAAAAAAAAAAAAAACCCGACAGGCATATTGCTAGAGAACTGGTGGTGCCTTATGCTATTATTTGCCTTTGCAACTACTGATTAGTTCTAACTGTTGCTTCCATCGACGACGAATTGGATTTCTAGTGCCGGGCTGTTTGTGTTAGCACTTCTGACAGCTGC